CTCTTTTTTTTTTTGTTGTTTTTCGGCAAGGGAAACCAACCGCAAGCCACCAGTTTGCAGCTTCCCCTATTTTGACACATACCCATAAAGCCTATTTCTACGAGCCTCAGCACTTGAATTGATTGGTTCTAACATGGTGCGTTGTGGGACTCAAGCAACAGCCAACGGATTGTTTCGAGTCCCGCGACTTTTACCCCTCCCCCCCCCAACAGCACCACAGCACCCAATCAATGCCAATCATGAATCCATCGTTTGACTCCCCCCCAGGCAGACTTAAACCGGGCTTTAAGGCAAGGGCAAAACCATGGAGCCTGGGTGCCAATTGTTTGATCCAAGCGTTTCCCTTTGCATCAAGCTTTGCGAGGGTGTCCGTTTTGGGCATGTGCCCAAATAGAGGGGGGGGGATCCCCCAAATGGTGAAGCGGTTCTCCTTTTGCTTTCCCAAACCACAAACGGTGTTTCGCAAATAATTTGAGCAGCGCCCGACCCCCCTCCAGCCCCCTCCAGCCCCCCCCCCAAAAAAAACAAACAAACAAACAATAATAAATGAAATAAACACAACACAACAAACAAAACAAGAAACAATCAGTTGGTTCTAGCACCTGGCGGAAGTGGCACTATAGTACCGCCTCTACAAACCTTGAGAACCATGTTGGTAGAGCCCCAAGTCCATGAGGTTTCAACAGGTCGCTGCTTGCTTGAGCCGGGGACTCCGAGCGGTTCTCCGGTCGCTCAGGCCGCGCCCCGCGGAGCTGCGGCCCCTGGGGACCTTTGCCTACCTCCTCAGCCGCGCTGGCGCCGCAAGGCCTGGGCTTCGGGGACGGAATCGATTCCACACACCCCGTCTCCAGAGGAGAGGGGCTGGATTGCCCAGGTCTCCCTCTGGTTATGTGCAGTTTCTGTCGTGAAGATTGCTTTTGGGGTGTCGCGACAAGTTCCGCCACTTCTACCTTGGCTCACGGAATATGTCAATACGTCAACTCCCGAGCCGCCTACGTAGCCGTTTCCAGCATCACGGAACTCAAGAATGGCCCATGTTTGTCCATTGCTGCAATGGAACCACGAGCGCGATTGAAGCAAAAAAGAAGTATAGGCTTGTGCCAAACGCCGGTTCGCTCGTAGGACTTGAGCCGGGCGTGTTTTGTGTGTTCCGAGCCCAAGTTGCTGCGGAGCTGGCTATGGTCAGTTGCCCATTGTATCGGGTACACAAGCATTATGGAGTCCTAGTGTGGAATCCCCTGACCGTCCATGACCAGCGTTCCGAGCTTTCTGAAAGGTTGTACTTTGGCGCGGTAAGATCCCAAATATCCAACTGAATAGATAGTGGTGTGGGACCCCAATAGAAGATCCCAAACATTGCAGCTCTGACAGGTGCATGTGTTTGTGCATGCATGCGCTAGGGACTGCGGATTTGTCTATTTCGGCCTTCGGCCCGCACATCTGCGCCCGACCCAAGAATTCCCCAACCCAACCCCCAGAACCTCAACCCACCTCCCACCCCCCAACCCAACCCAACCTCCCCCCCAAGTGCATGCTGGGCAAGAGGGTTTATTTTGCAACCCGCTTGTTTACGGTACTGTTTCTTTTGCGATGGACACACCTAGGTGATTGAATAGGCTAAAGGTCAAAGTACAGATGTTAACAACCTTCCAAGCACCCGGCTTAACCAGGTTGTTGGTGGAAAGACCCTGCTTTATCCTTTTAGGTATTCTTTTTTTGCGTGGGTGAAAGAGGGGTTAGACTTTTTGGGTGTCCATGGCACCCCACCCAATGTGGTTCGAAGGCTGCTGCAACCTGGCGCGGTCTTTCCCCTTCAGCGACAGCTTGATGCCCAGCGGGGGGCCCAAGCATCGGATTTTTGTTGTTGGGTGAATGTTGTTCAGGGACTATTTGTGGTTGGTTGGATTTTGTGCGGATTTGTTTTAGGGCGGGGTTAGTTTGTGGTTGGTTGGAGTTTGGATTTTGTTTGTGATTGAGTGGATGTGGCTTGGTTTTTGTGAGTGGTTGGATTTGATTTGCATGTCTTTTGTGGTTGGTTGGATTTTGCTTGGGATTTGATTGTGGTTGGTTGCATTTTGTTTGTGGTTTGCTTGTGATTGGTTGGATGTTGTTTGTGGTTGCTTGGAATTGGTCCGGGGTTTGTGGTTGATTGGACTTGGTTTGTTGTTTTTTGTGTTTTTTTTTTGTGTGTGTGTGTGTGTTGGATTTTGCTTGTGGCTTTGTTTGCTTTTTTTTGTGGTTGCTTGGATTTGAATTAGATGTTGTTTGTGTGTTGTTTCTGTTGGTTTGTTTTGGTTTTGGTTGTGTTCCTGGTTGATGGGATTTTGTTTGTGGTTGGTTGGATTATGTTTGTGGTTTGTGTGTGGTTACTTGGATTTTGATGGGATTTTGTTTGTGGTTGGTTGGGTTTGGTTTGTGGTTGGTTGGATTTGGCGGAGTTTGTTTGCGGTAGATGGTATTTGTGAATGAGTGGATGTTGGCTTGGTTTTTGGTTGTGGTTGCTTTTGTATCTTGCTTGTTTGTGGTTGGTTGGATCGTGTTTGTGTTTTGTTTTTTGGTCGACGGATGCTTTGGTTAGGAGATCTGGTTTGGGTTCCGCTTTGATCGGACAGCGCATGGATTGAGAAATGCGAGTAACCGCAAATAGTGCGTCTACTTGAGGGGAGTTTTTGCTCGGGATCCTGGGCAAACTTGTGGGGTCAATGTTTGCAGCCTTTTTGTCGCAATTTTGATCAACATGGCATTTCTGCATGTGCTGGTGTGTTTTCCATCGAAGAACTAGAAAATTCGAATCGTCAGAGACGTCTCAAGGGGCAGCTCATGCTGCCACTTCACCCGAACATGTGGCGTCTGTTTAGTTTCCCTTAGCAAACCCAACAAGATACCCTCAAAACATGCCACACCCAGATCAACATGATGTTTCTCAATTTCATTTGCTGATATCATTCTCGTCCGACCGCAACCACTTGGCTCCAGCCTGACTCAAGCTGTTTCTTGCCCAAGATCAGTGAAATCACTCGAGTCTCCCTGCAGCCTTCGGTCGCCTGAGGCTGCTGGAACTCCGGGGGCAACTTCGCGTGGGTCTTGGACCGGATTCGATGCGCCAGTGCCAACTGCGCCCGGGTCGGCGGAAAGGAAAGCATCTTGCAGCACTGGATGACTTGCCAAAAGTGGTGGGGTTCTCGTGTCGACTCCATTTGGGTATGGGTCAAAATTAAGCCCCAAAAGGGGACCGCAGGTTTTGGCCCATGTTTCTGATTACCAGGGCAAGCCATGTAGGGTACCTATTTTTGACCCACAGCCATTTCTCAGATTGTCTGCGCCAACAATTGGGCATCATCTTACATCTCCCTTGACCATGAGGAACGACGAACACATTCAAATCCTTGTAGGGTTAAACGTTGATCAAGTTATTGTCTGATCCGAGTTCTCGAGAATCCGTTCGCGGGAGACGTCATGTGCCAATCTGCAGCGTGTCACGATCTGTTTGTTCAGCACCTCGGCAAGTTCGCAGCATGCAAAGGCATGAAGACGTCGCTCGTGCCACGTGCCGGGCACGGGCGGAGGGTTGGAGTTTGTGATGGGGTCGATGGCTATGCCGGGTGTCGGATACAGCTTGCTGTCCCAGGAAGCGTGATTTCCATGCTAGTGGGACATTGTTTGGTCCAAATCCGTCAAGCGTTCACTCGGCACTGACCACATACCAAGGGCCGAGCTAGCGACCTACGAGTTGAAACCTTGCAACGCCGGACCGTTCGCCAGAGGAAAATTGGTGGAACGGACCAATCCAATGTGCAAAGTACCCTGCAGATGGCATGTCGCTGTCTGTTCAGCTTGCATTCCACATTTCAGGATGCCTGTTTACTTCCCTGTGACCACTCGACTTGTTCGTATCCGTATACATGATTTCGGAAACACTCCGCAAACGGAGGGCCGTACCCACTGTAAGGAACCTAAATGAAGGGAAGAAGCCAGGGTATGCGAACATAAATGAAGTCATGGTCACAAGAGAATAATGTTGGTTTGTGTCAACATAGGGATTTGGAACCCCAACAAGTGTTGTGTTTTTGGTTTCCCTTTAAACCAACCTTACGTTAAGGGTCCTGAGCCCCAACACAAGTATAAGCACATGCCACCGTTGGGTGGGGGCGGCACTTTCCGGCAGGGTCCACAAGGAGGCCATAATTGGGAACCAGTTGGGAACATGAAACCCTATATTGGGGATACAACCTAGGTGTACCAACTGGTGCAGGATTTGTCAACCCTCTGAATAAAGGGGATAAAGCCTAGTTGTAGCAAAGGATTTGGTTGCACAGCATATTAAGACAAAGCCCGCCAATGTGTGCAGCCAATGTGTGTGTGTAATTTTGCCCCCAAACTCGGGCTCCGGTTTGAGGCGCCTTCCGCTGCCTGGAGGGCTCCTGCCGGGGGCTCCGGGTTGCACTTCCTCGTTCGAGCTCGTTTTTTGTTTATGGCAACCCGTTTGGGGATAAAGATGAAGCCTGACTGTCCGCTGCAGCCACGTCTGGTTTAGCTCTGTTCTCCTTGAATGGGAGAACCCTCGTGCCTCCGTTGTGGTGGGAGGTTCGGGAATCAGAAGTTGCGTGTTCCATCCGCTTTGCTGTGCTGAACACCATCCCGGCTGAGGACACCGAGGGTCTGATCAGCCTCCTCAAGAAGTTCTCGCGCAAGTGAGGGGGGCCCGCCACGAAGCCAACGCCCGCGCTGGCTGCCCCTGTGACTTGGGACTTTTCTGTGGCAGGGCAGCTCGAGGAGACGCGTGGTATATAGGGGGCCAGAGTGCCCCAGACTGATTTTGGCCTTCTTCACGAGGCATGGTGAGGTGTGCCTGAAACCGGAAGTGGAAGGAGTCCGCTCTTGACAGGGTTGCCTGAAAAGCGAAGTTTGAGAGAGGCAGGAGACAGGCACTTATTTTGGAGGTGGGAAGGTTTTTAGCTGGGCCGCGTGAGGAGAAGAAGGATAAGAAGCGGAGGCGGACAGTTGATGCGAAGGAGCCTGGACAAGTATTGAGCCAGCTCTCCCACATAAGGTGGGGTGCCTGGATTTATCTTCACCGCGCCGTCCGGGTACTACATTCTATGTGGGCAACCTGTGGGGATCTAATTTTGGGTCGAATTCCCTTGGTCGTTGTAGACCGGGAGGATGTTTGCCGGGGTCTTCTTTTGAAAGGTGTCTAGGTTCTGCCGTTCTGCCAACTTTACTATGTGAAGGGTAAGCCGCTTCTCTCTGGCATGTTGGTATTGCCAAGGTGAGTTTGTGGGTGACGTTGAGACACAAAGACTGATCATGAATTTGACTCCGCTCAACAGCAGATGAAGGTGATGCTGTAGCTTTCCAGTATGTCAGCTTTGTTCTGGAAAAGGGAGAGGTCGCCCTCCTGTTTTCGGAGGGCGTCGGCTGTTTTTCTACTTCTTCAAGATCGCATGGCGTGGAGGCGGCTTTCAACAAGAAGGGCCCCCTCAGCGTGGTTCCTCCTCAATGGCAGGGATTTCGGTCCAAAAGGAAAGGCGGACATCTATATATTGGTATATACGCATAAATCAGACTGGGATGGCTTGCGTGAAAAGGATGAATGCCATTCAACCTTTGTATGCCATTTGAGGCCATGAGTTTGGGTCAAGGGGCATGATTTGTTACCCATGTTTTTGTTGGCATGCTTTGGATCACATGGAAAATCGCCGAGCCATTTCGTGGGCCGAGCTGCACGTAGGATGCAAGAGCCCATTCCCGTCAAATGGGTATGGGCCAAAATTAAACCACCAGGGAACCGCAGGTTTCAATCCTTGTTTCGAGGGTTCAATTTTGGGTACCTATTTGTGACCGACACCGGTACGTCGTTTTTGAGGATGGCCTTTATGGGGTGGGTTTGTAGAGGGAAACCAAAAGGAAACCACAGATTTTTTCGGGTACCGCTATTTTGGCACATACCCCACTTCGCAGTTACGTCCCGATCATCCACGTGGCTTTGAGGCCACAAGGGGCGCAGCAGGACCAAGCAGTAGTCTGCTGTGTAGAGGAAGAATGTTCGCATCATTGCAGCAGAATGAGTTGTTACCCATCAAGGTCATTTTGAGGCGTTCCTTGGTTGCAAAGTTTGAAGGGTAATCCTTTACTGTAATTAACCTGGCCTGCAAACGTGAACATAGTAACGCAACTTGATGTGTCAGGTTTGGCATCTTTTTGGAATCTGGACAGAGTGCAACGAGCAATGGGTTAAAGACATTGCTCACCTGCCGACAGATGGAACTCCCGAGCAGATGCAACTCGCAACCAGCAGTTTCCTTTGATTGCCTTTTGAGGAAGGGTGTTTTTCTCTCGAGGCAGTTACAGGGAAAACCATTGAGTCCAATTCCAACTGATGGACAAGCTCCTGTACCAGTTGATGGTTTATCCCATTTGATCTATTCCGGAGGATTCTAGGTGGCGCGACGCGGACTTCGCCCACAGTATTTCAGGACACCTGGCTATGATCTTTTGCAGGGAACCCCCTGCTGAGTGGTTGTTGGACAGAACTTCGTCTAAATGATGTCCACCAAAGGGTCTCTCCCCTTAGAAGGTATACCTGCATCTTTGGAGGGTACCCCTCATTTCGCAGGTAACTGAATAGTAAGCCACTCATTTCGCGGGTCTTTGGCCGACGCACCTCTCGCAGGCCTCTTCTACAGCGCGCCCTGCCAGCTCTTGGACTCCGACGTGCAAGCCTGCTGGCCTGGCTCTCACCGAAGGGTCTGTCTTTTTGGAGGGCGCCCTGGTTTCTTGGTGGGTTTAAAGGGAAACCGAAAGGAAAACTCACCTGCGTTTTTTTTGGGGGATGAGGGGCCTACTACAAAAGACACCCGTATGTATGCGCATATTCTTGAATGGTGGCACAAGATATTGGTATTTAGGGAATTTAGGGGCAACCAAGAGGGAGCGGTTGTTTTAGGTGGCGATTTGAGAAGCAACCTATGTGAGCATCGGTCAATATGTTTTTGTGGAAAAGAGTAAAGAGGGTGCATGGGTCACAATCACCAAAGCAATTAATGCGGGTTGTTTGTCCGAAGTTCAATGTCACTGAAAAGCGCAATGACTATTGACTGTCTCAAAATGGATTTTGGACCCCGTTTTGGTTGGCAACCTAAGGGTAGCCAAACGGACGATTCCTATTGCGCGAACCCGCCCCCTCCCCTTGGTTCCCCTTGTCTGGGGCTCAAAACTCAGGTGGAAAAAGGGCGGCTTACCCTGCTTTGTTGGAGTTATAAACGCTTCGCGTTGCCCGCTTCGGCCAGCTGGCTTTGAGGTATACACCGTGCTATACCGTGCTCTAGTTTGCCTTGATGGTCGGACGGACATTCTGAAGAGGCGAATTTGCCCAATTGTGCGACGGTTTTTTTCGGACTTTCGGACGGCCAACCAGAAATGAAGAAGCTGGCCCCGAGGCATCGCACCCACGCAGGTTACGACCATCGTCACTAGGGGGAACTGGGGTTTGGCCCCGGTACCGCGGTTAAAACCTACCTCGAAGAAACCAGCGGCAGGGCATCCTTTTGGTTTTGCAGGCGGGTGTGCTCGTGTTTCTGTTCATGTGGAAAGTCTGGTCTCCTACCACCTTTTTCTGTTGTTTTGCTCGGCGAGTTTCCAATGGTTCCTGTGAAATTTGTCGTCTCATGCCACATGGGTGACATGGGTTGAAGACTCCACGCCGTGTGGCGGTCGCGGAGGTCGGCGGACCACGACCTCGGGCTCCGGGAGATGAAGCGGGGCTTGCTGCGCCGCAAGGAGGCGACGCGGCGGCTGCCGACGGCGCGTGTTGGTTCGATGGATCTCTTGGGAGACGGCCAGAGACACCCAGACACCAGACCTCAGTGACATGTCCTTTTTCACTGAATTTTGGCTCCTCTTCTCCATGGTTCTTCATTCATGGTGGCGAATCCTACTAGCTTGGGTGGGCTTTGGTGTGAACCCTTGTGGAAGCAACTGGCTTTTCCATTAAACCTACCAGGGGGAAGAGTAAACCCAGGTTTGACTATAGCCAGCTTTACATTGATCCTCCTCTCCAAATCCACGGAGCAAGGGGGCAATCTCGGAGGGACCAACTTGCAACTCGAAATTCTCAGGCGAAATATCAGAAACGACGCACGTTTTTCATGTGAGCCACGGTCAAATTTCTTTGTTCCCCCAAGAGGACATGGAAGAACTGGGGGCTGGGCCTGTGATTTTTGCGGGTAAATCGAGCGAGGTTCCGATGCCCTATCCATATGGATGGACAATTCAGGATGGACATTTTGACTGATGAGCACACCAGGGAGCCTGCACTACAACTCACTTCATCTGAGATCTGAGGACGGGTCCAACACCATAGGGGTCCGCGTTTGTTTGAAGGCATACTGTTTGCCGGGTGTTCAAGGGAAACCAATCAGGCAACCACCACTTTTTGTTGGTCCCCCTATTTTATGTGTAATTAGCATGCATCCGAAGGGAGCCCATTAGGGAACCCATTTGTTCGAACCCATTCAACTGGCCCAAAAGAAGGATTCCTTCTAGTTTCGCGCTGAGTTACTCCCTAGGTCTGGGGCCATTAAAGTGACACCCTTAAAGTTACCCTCTAAAACCGTGGTTCAAAAAGGACACCACCCAACAGTAACTTCGGAGAACCCCTTAAAATGGCGATGCATTTCAGCAGGTAACCCTTTTTTAAGTGGTTGGCGGACATAAATCTCCACCGAATCTTGCTGTCCACCAAAGGGTTCCCACCAAAATTCATACCCAAATGTTCGGTTTAAGGGCTGAGAACTCGCAGGTGTTCTTGCAACCCTTTCCGTTGCAGGCCTTGGACAAGCTGGCCCAGACCACCGCTTCTGGTTGTGCCGGGCGCTCAGCAAAAATCAGCGGGATCCGCGCAGCAAGCGTTGACAGAGGGTCAAACATTCAAACAGTCCTCAACCGGGGACGCTGTCACGGGTTTGGATGTCAGGCAGTTTCAGGCATGCAGAAACAAACCAGCCAAATCAACCAGATGTGCCCAGAGGTGTGGCCAACCAAACCAAAACAAAACTGCCCGAAATTGCGGGAAATGGACCCGTTTGCGCGATCCCCGGGCTGCCAAGAAAATGGGTGTTTGTTTTTGGGCTACCCTAGTTTTGTGGTGCCTGGAGAGGAACTTCAAGCGGGAAAACCACGAAGACTGGGGTCCAAATCCCTATTTGACACATACCCGAAAAGTCTCCTTCATGGCACTCAAGAAAGTTGCAACCCACCTCACCCATGTTCGTGGTGTCTTTTTATGGGAAGCCCCTGGTCTTTGGTTGGTGAATTGTTCTGGCTGCAAATTCGATTCTGGGCTCACTGATTCGGGGGCGAAAACGAGCTCGGGCCCCATGCTTCGAGGTTCTTTTACCACGGGATGAGGGTCCCCTGTTTCCCTTTCGGGGTATTCATCTCTCTCAGTCTTGTTCCACGTCCTAAAGACATGTCTCATGTCTTACGGAACACAACAATGAGAGTGAATGATGAATGGAGCAGTAGCTTTCATTTTCCTCAAGCCACTTATTAGTTATTGGTTTGTGGATGGCTTCTCTGGGAGCCATCTCCTGATAATATGTTGCATCTTATGGTTGTCCTTCCTTCTCTTACCCATCTCCTCATGGTTAAATTCAGAATACGTTCCACACTTTCCATGCACTAGTGGAACGTGGGACAATGCCCGCCGATTGTATTGACTTTGACGTGTTGAAGTGATTGTGCGTGATCCGCTGTATCAACTCTGCATCATTTTATGACTCATCATCATCATCATCATCAACAACGTCATCAACGTCATCAACGTCATCAACGTCATCAACGTCATCGTCACCGTCATCATCGTCGTCATCACCATCATGATCGTCATGGTCATGGTCATGGTCATCGTCGTCCTCCTCCTCATCATCATCATCATCATGAATCATCAGCATGCGCGCACTCAGCCCGGCTTTTTTTCTGGATGGAAGCCCTTTCGTGCGAAGAAGTTGCATACCTCAGCACCTTCAGGTCAAGTCGCTCAGGTTCTTTCTCATCGCTTGTCTCGCCGCCATGTCGAGCGAGGACCATGCTGAGATGGGACAGGCGCCAGTTGTACAGGGCAAGCCAGTGGACCCCGCGCCCGGATATGTGCCTGGTCCCATGTACGCCGCGCATGCGCCGGCTCATGCGGGTCCTTCGGGTCCTGGCTATGGTGGCTACCCTCATCCGCCTCATGCGCATGGCGCGCATGGCGCGCATGCGGTGCCCATGGGGATGTTGCCACCTGAGGAGCAGATCATCCTGAACTACCGCATGGCGGTGATGTGCTTCGCGATGTTAGACTTGATGAACACCAGCCTCAACGTTTTGACGGCGTGGGCTTTGAATCCCAAGTCCCTCGCTGGAGCGGTCGGCCCTTTTGTTCTCTCACTTTGTTTGGGATGTATGACAGACATACCCGCTGACGAACCCCATACGCCCCACATGAATGGATTGTTTTTAACTTTAACTTTTTGGCAGGACTTAACAGACACCCAGACCTCCGGTGGGATGCTTCTTGTTTCCTTTGTTTGGAGGGGGAAACCCCTTGAAAATCCAGATGAAACTAATGCCCAGGTTTTTTTCCTGAAATTCCACTAGCAAAGGTTCCAGTGGTGGGAGCCTTTTATGCTGATCTTTATCATCGGCCCCTTGTTCGGGTTCCTGGGCGCGAAGAAGCTGAATCGAGAGCTGACGGCGGTGTACGTGGTCTTCTGCATCTTCAAGGCACGTTGAGATGAGTTCGTTTATTAATAGGCACGTTGAGATGAGTTCGTTTATTAATGCGGTTCTAGTGGTACCCTTCTCTTCAAAAAATGGGCCAAACACCTCGAAAAAAGGTGGTTTCTAAAGAGATGGGTGAAGAGAATGGGGATTCAATCCTTAGAGCGGTGCCTGATTTTTAGTGCTGCTTGATGTTGAATCGGGCCAATAGTTTCTCAAAATGGATTCCGGCATGTAGAGGGAAGCTGTTAAAGTAGCCAACCATTTTTGGGGACAACTTTTTTAAAACCCCCCATGTCAAGTGAAGAATCTTCGGGATCACAAGCTTTGGCGCGATCTTTGGAAGCCCGTTTGTTTCTTTAACGGTTTTGGAGAGACCACTGCAGAACCTTGAGCGTCAAGGTGTCTCAAAAAACGGCTCTTTTTTGCATGGTTTGATGGGCAGCCAAGAAAAAGTCAACCTGGTTTTGCGTTCAGAAAAAGTCAACATGGTTTGAAGGGAAGCCACCAAAGCCAACAGTTCAACAAAAAGCTACTAAGGAGTGTCTGCCCAGAAAAAGAAAAAAAGAAAAAAACATCAAAAACGCAGAAGCGGATCGCAAGCAACGCCTTTTTTTCTCCGACTGGCCCAGGTGAGCTTTCAGATCTTCTGCGCCATCTTCACCCTGTGGTTTTGGGCCATCATGTTCCTTTGCGTTTTGCTGGTACTGCACTTGAAGATCAAACCACTGATTTGTTGGTTTATGTTTTTGTTGGGGGGAGGACCCAACTTAACTTTGGCTGCGGTTTGCCAAGGGATGTTCGGACTGAATGATTTTTTTGCCAACTAAAACTTGTTGCCAACTGATGGGTTTTTCGCATGAAACAAACCAAACAAGTTAGTCAAACTTTTAGCGGAGCAGATTTTGCCAGCGAGGTTCGCAGTGGTGGAGTTCTGGATCATGAAGATTGTGTCCACCTTCTGGCTGGCCTTGGGCGTGGTTAGTTCCGGCCGACGCCAGGAACTCCTGCATGTCAAGGAGGTGGGGGTTCAGATGGTGTATTGGTGAGCTGGCTCCAGGTTTTACGTTTTGGGCGTCTCTTTTTGGAGTGGGTACCCGCTTGTTTGGTGGTGTTTTAAATGACCATGTTGGGGGGTCCTACCTTAAAAAGACGCCCTTTTGGTCGCTCTCTGCGACCAAACCTTTGGTGCGCGAATTCGAAGTGAGATCTTTTTCTCTTGACACGGGAAGGGTATTAGCCACCTGGCAGACTTGCGATAGCCAAGCTGCTTGCAGTCCCGCGTTGTATGCCCGTGTATAGGCTTGCGAAAGCCAAGCTGCTTGGAGAATTGCTTGACATTATGCAGCCTCCGAGGCAGACAATAGCTTTTTGCATCTTGGATTCTGGATTCATCTGGATTTCACTGGAATCAACTTGGTCACAAACTTCCAGACACCTCTGCCGAAGGGAATTGAAGACAGGGCAGTTTATTCCTTTTCCACGAGGTTATCTTTAAACTAGGTAGCCCCCTCAAGATGTGGTTGTGTCCCTTTGGTTTCACTTGAAGCCAGAGAAGGTGCCCGACTTGGACAGATCCACTTGGCTCAGGCCGAGCGGGCAAAGGTTTGTGCTCCTGAGACCAGCGAGGCTCCTGCAGCCAGAACCGGGTTCCGGGTTCCAGCTTTTGAGGTCCCCATTTCCATTTGCTGAAGAATATGTCAATGTCTTATTTTCCCCTGTTGGGTTTGGAGGGATTCTATCACTTCTGGAAATATAGTTGCTTTGTCTGGACGATTTGAACAAATGGAAGCCCACATTAGACTTAAACGTGGATTTTCCCAAAAGGAGAACCTCTGGGTTTAAGTCGATGCGTTGGGAATGCAGTGCAGTGTTTGCTTTGTTGGAAAAAGAAGCCGAGCCAGTTTATTCGTAGCTGGTCTTTATGACCGAATCGCCCTGACCCATTTGGATATGCCGGCCTTCCCCATTGAACCCAAAGGTGATCGACCTCGGGGCGAGCAACGCATGAAAGTGGACCATGGGTCGTTTGGGTTTGATTTGACAGATCGCAATTTGCCCTTTTGCAGGTCGGAGAGGTCTTGCTGTTGTCCCTAAAAGCCATAGGCAGTCAAAGAGGTGTACAGGCACACGGCGACGACTCCCGTCGCAAGTGGCTCCTGAGGCTTTTGATGAACCGCAGTACCGGCTCTCAAAGGGGCCCGGTGAGGGCCGAGACCTTTCAACGGAGGTCCCTAAGAAACGGACGCCCCTTATGCCACCGCAGGCCGCGGCGTCCGCGCGCCTTGCAGCCCCGCGGCTGTGCTGTGCCTGTGTGGTGGTGGAGGGTGTGGGATCCGTGGAGGTGGGGGGGGTCCGCTGAGGGGGGCTGTCTCGGGGCGTTGCCGTGAAGAATGGTTTCTAGGTCCCCCAGTAGTGCCCTTTTACCATTTCTTTTTTGGGGAGGGTTCCCCTGGTTTCCCTACTAAAATAGACTACAGAAAAAAGGGTATCTTTATTCTAACCTCTCTACAGGAGGACCTAGGTTTGGTTTGACCTTGTTCCCTATTGAAGCTTAGTGCAGAGGCTGACACCTGACACCTGCATGTCGCCCACCCCGCAGGGTTGGAGAAGATAGAGGTTGGAGTAGGTAGAGGGTAGGCCAGACAAATCTTTCCTAGAAGCGTATCCAACATCTACGTTTAGTAGCGGAAGACATTTTCCTAGACTAAGCTGCTGATGATGCTGGGGTATCGACCCACCGAAAGGTATCCCACATCCGTTATGTCAAGAAGAGGGGAGTCTCCTGTCTCCTGTCTCATTTCAATGTGAACCACTTTGGTGCCGTACCGTCGCAATGGGCCTGCGAGGAACAAGCCGCATTCTGGCTTTGCTTTGGGCCTCATAGGGGCTGCGTGGGGTTCGTTTGGCAAAAGAGCTTCGGCCGATGCTAGCCTTCGACACAACAGGAAAACGAGAACCTCTCTATACCACCAAAATAAATCCACCGGGACAGAACACACAGCAAAGCGGAAAGCGGGGGGAGTGGCCAAAGGACTGGAACTGATCGTGCACCTTGTTTGTCGACTGCGGAAGAGCATGGTCATTGAGCTTCGGAGCGACCAAGCTCAGTCAAGTTGAAAGAGCCATGAAGCATGACTCCATGTTTCATTTAACGACCAATGGTGTGTGTTGAGGATTTCGAGGGAAGAGACAACGGTGCCTTTCCAAGGATCAGAAACCTCAGCATCGTCAGGTGGTTTCCTCCGCTCCAAAGTTTGCCATGAAGCACCACTCCAAGAAGGCCCCAAACCACTGTACCCCAAGAGAAAATGAAGTACACTTTATGTAGTGTCTATATGAAGCGGTTGTACACCCAATCTTGTTCTTGTGGTTTAGGGGATCTCCACCATGAAGGTAGATTGCAGATGCTCGTTCTGGAAGTTTCCAGCCGAGTTGTCAAGCGCCGAAGGTTGTTCTTGCTAGACCACGCCTCTTGCTGAAACGGGAACCGGAACCCCTGATGAGCTCGCTCCGGATGAGTCCGAACGAACCTTTGCCTTTGGAGGGTGACTTGCACAACAGAAGGCCATCAGAAACGATCTCAAGCCCGATGGGCAAGAAAGAGGCTTTCTGAAAAAAGGAAACTGTTGAATACCAAAGCAAGAAACACAGCCCACTGCTTGTTGGCACATTAGGGCTGTGTTTGGGCATCAGCACGACGGAAGCATTTTAGAACATACACATCGGTTGGCCTTGTCAAATCAGAATTTGTTCAAATGATTTCTTGACTGTCGCTCATGCGACATCTACTACCCCTTAGGTCGTTCCCAGCTGAGCTAAATCCCCTCTAGAAGAAACACAGGTTTGCAAGCATGTGAGAGCGTTTGCCACCCGAGATGGAGAACTCTCCAGACATGCGACGCAAAACATATTATACATATATATATATATATATGCTCAATGCAAGACGCACTAAGCTTGGACCAACCGCGGAATGGCACAACCATCACAACCCAATAACATCAACCTCGGGCCCCACGCCACGAGGCAGCAACCCGCTTGGTGCGGGCGGCGACGAGTGTGGTGCCTCACACTGCCGGGTAGCCCCAGTATCGATGGAAGTGTCGTCGTTTTTGGGGCCCCATCCGTGGATTTCCTTCTTGGGAAGTGCTAACAGCGTGCCAAAAGCGTGCAATAATCGGCGGAATCCACAGGAGGCATCTGACTGACTAAGTAGGTCAAGGCAAACCATCGACCTGTTTTCGCTGAAGGATTCAGTGGCTACATTCAAAAGGGCGCCGCAGGGGGGCAAAGGGGCGAATGCTCCAGGGTTTGATGCATCCAAACTAGGGCTGTGTGGCGAGCAATGGATTACAACTCACGAAAACGAAAAGGTCCGACCCAGGAAATGAAGCCAGGGGTCCCCTCATTGTTGAGAACCAGCAAGTAAAAGGTTACCCTTCCTCCCACCAACATAGCATTTGTGGGAGGGTATCCGGAAGATCAGGTTCCTTTTAAAGGTACCACTTGTCCACTGTCAGGTGCCATGTTAGTGGGAGTGAGGGTATCCTTTTGTTTCTAGGTCCTTCAGGCATGTGACGTGTGGCTGGCTACCAGAGGTGGGAGTCGCGAGATTCCGAACCGCCGAACCGCAGGCAGTGCTCTTGGTCTGGTACGGCGAGGAGGGGGTTGGGACGGACTGCTGGTTGCTCGTTTTGGTGCTGGATTTTCTGGGTATGCTCCCAAACTGTCTATACTGTAGGGCAATATGAAACAGAGTCGGAAAGTATGATGCTCTGTGTGCCCAGATCTGGGTCAAGCTTTGGTGCTGCATCTTGGGCACAGGTTTGACAGTTGAGAAAGTAAAGAAACAAGACACATCCTATGTTCAATGTTTTTGGTTTGGTTTGGTGGTGACCCTGCTACCTTCTCCATTTGCCTTGGGAACTAGGGTTCAATTCCCCAACCCTTATCTTGCTTGTTCAACTCATTTTTTGTTATACAAAATTATACAAAACCAATGCATTTGTGTTTGTTTTGGACATATACTATATAAACAACAAATAAACAACCACTCGGACCATCGACATAGCTTAGGAGCCTGGCGCCTGCATGGCCGCACTGGCGGCTTGCGGGCTGGCGCCGGGCTGCGCGCTCTTCAGGCAGAGCGGAGCGATGGGCCAAATTCCAGGGGAGCACGGCGCTCCTTGAAGTATTTTGCCTGGAATATATTTCCTGGAGTATGTTTCTTGGAATATGTTTGCCGGAATAATTAATGTGTTGGGGGGAGAGGGGAGGGGTGGTGTTGGGGTTCCCCGTTGATGGTGGTTTGAACCAAGTCACGACAACCTGACCCCGGGGATAGTATTGAAGTTGCAGGTGTTTCAGGGGTGGCTGTACCCTGGAATGATTTTGAGGGTGAGCAGGACCCAGGAATATGTTGTGTGGCTGATTTGGTGTGTTCAAGTCGCTAACCCAACTACAGGCAGAATGATTTCTGCCCATGATGGTCGGGATGCCCAGGAATAACTAAAAACATATTCCAGGGGTGGACCAACGTTGTTCCCCCGCTTAGGCATGCCCCGTCGAGCGATCTCCAAGGTGGCACACTGAAACAGTAGCTCGGTTTGGGGTTGCTTTTGGGTTTTGCTTTGGGATTGCTTTTGGGTTTTGGTTTGGGATTGCTTTTGGGTTGGGTTTGGTTTGGGTTTTGGTTGTTTGGGGTTTGGTCTAAGTCTAGTTTGTCTTGGTTCGGTTTGGTGATTTTCTGCAGTTGATCTTTCAATTTTGGAAACAAACACATATGTTCAGCCTGAGCAATAGTCAACAGTCCTTGCCCAAACAAATTTGGGGTTCTTTCGTCCGAGTGAGTTCGGCTTGGGAGCATCGGGAGTTTACTTTTAGTCTACCAACTTTCCGCCAATCATGGAAGCTGAAAGGATTGCGCAAGACTACCGTTTTGTAAAGGCCCTAGTTGGACAGATGGCAGCAGATTGGGTCTGTGTCAAAATAGGGGGGACCCCCATGCCGGCTTGGGGTGTCCTTTTGATTTCGCTTCAAAGCAACCTGAAAAGGATACTGAGCCTCAAACAAGCACACACACACATTTTGCAGACTGAAACCCGAATGATGTCGCTTGCTGCTTAGATGAGGAACCGAAGGCAAAGTGGTATGTGTCAAAATCAGGGGACCCCCGAACGGGGGTTTTCCTTTTGGCTTCCTCTTGAACCAACCTGACAAGGGTACCCTCAATACAAACAGACCCAAATACGTATGAAAGGCAAATACGCTGCCGGCACTACCCTCTCGTTTTTCTCGGCCTTCGAAGCATTCGGCCAGGGGACCTCTGGAGGAAGCGCTAGAGGCCCGGTTTCAACTCGACAGCTTTTCATGACTGACACTGATATGAGCATGGCTCGTGTTTTGGGCTGGTTTAAGGAACCCAAAAGAAACGCTGAGCCACGAACGGGGGGCCCCTATTTTGACATACCCATTTACAATGAGCCTGGAAGTTACATATACATATATATATATATAGATTATACATTTGTTAGTAGCATGAGCCAAGAGCATGTGTGACACTGTCAACGTGGAGCCTTCGATATTTTCAGACAACCATTAATGTCGAGGCTCCTAGGAAAGAGGACCATGACCGTGACCCTAGGAGTTTGCGCCATGTGTGTTTGAGGTTCGGTACCAACTTGTTCACCTTAAGGTGCAAAGCGAAACCAATAGGAAAGCCACCAGTTTGGAGGTCCGTCTATTTGGCACATACCTTGAGGAACTCACAAGATTGGTTTGCTGTCGGTGGAGGACGAGAAAGGGGACCCCCAGCATTTGACCAAAACCAAGGGGGCCGGCCCACCATGTTTTCCCAGGTCCCCGGAACAAATCATTCTAGTGCCACCTTCCCCATTCTTTCCAGGGATCCGAATCCTTCTAGAAAACCTCCACAAACCCAGGCAAACGGCCGGTTTTTGAAACGAACGATGGTTGAAACGAATGGGGAATCAACTCTTAGAATCATACCGTCCCTGGTTCAGGTGTGGAGTTCAAAGCTGTTTATGTGCCTGATGTGCCATGTTTGTTTGTTTTTTTCTCGAAACTGTTTTGGATACGCACTCGTGGAGGGCCCTTTCTGTTTGTTACGATTCTTTCAGCTCGGACACCTTGATAGACGCTTTCCATCACGGCACTTTTTTGGCAGGGGGAAGTATATACCAAGAACGTCCAGGAGTGTAGAATTTTTGCTTTTCTCCGAAACGACAAACAAAAACAGTCGTTTCCAACAAACATCGCCGTTCCCTTTAAAAAGCGACTTTGGGACACGTGCCATATATAGAACAGTGTTCGGCTAACAAACGCCTTTGTATCGAGGAACAATGCCGTTGTATCCGGGAAAAAACACCTCCGCCAGTTTGTTGCCTACAGTCAAAACAACAAGTTGCAGGAAAACAGCCCCAAGGCCAAAATATGATGGTCATTTCTGAGAAAGCAGCTTTCCACCCAGGATTCATACACGTATTTGTTGGATACAAAGGCTACCAACCATTCTACCAATCATCTATTTCTGTGCGGATAGTAACTTCACTCAGCTCTCGGACAATGAACCATCCCTTGGTGAATGATTCCTTCTTGTGGTCTCGGCTTTTCAGGCCAGTGAAGCACGCTTCTCTTGTCTTTCATGGAACGTATCGCTCCATGGGTCACACGTCCTCATCAATCACTTCGCCCTCATCATTATGTGTGGTTTAGGGGATTCTGCCAACGGCATCCAACGGCTGGTCTTCTTTCAGTCCCACGGGGTTCCTTGAATTCTGGGCCAACGCCACTTCTATTCGTCCCATGGTCTTTGGTGTGACCTAAAGGCCCCTTGAAAGGAGCTGTTGGGTTTCACAAACGGCTTTTCCATACCAAGGTGGGACCTAGCTAACCTCGTTCCGGCGGAGGGAGCAACCCCCTCAGACGCGCGCGTCACGCGTCAGGCCGCGTGCCCAGGCAGCGGCTGTCTACGTGCGGAACCTTGGCGCAAGCCGCGTCAAAGTTAGGTCGGGCAAGAGGAGTACCCGAAACCGCTAGAATAAGCCTACCCTTTGCGGGGGTTCGCGAGTTTTGAGATGTCAGAATATGGATTTAGACCTCCCCCCCACCAAAAAAAAGCAGGGATGTCGCCCTGTGCTGCCGACCCCTGTAATGCTCTCTCACGACATCCAACACCCGCTGTCCTGCTTGATCATGGCATTTCCATCATATAACGTATTCCAGTCCAGGAAGAAACCAAAGGGAAACCAAATGGAAGCCAAAAAGGAACCAAAGGGAAACCAACAGGAACTAAGCCATAAGGAAACTAAAGGGCAACTAAAAGAAGCCAAAGGAAACCAAACGGAAACCAAAGGAAACCAAAGATGCTGGTTCCCTACGAGATTAGAATCCGATGACCCAGAGGCGATTTGTTTTCCCCCAAAACGCACCCTGGCGGCACCTGCCAATATTACCGATAGCATCAAAATCACAAATAAACAAAACAACATGTCAAAAAAGGTTCCACAAAACATATTCAGCTTCGTCTTTAAGCAAGCCGCATAAACACCTGGCCAGCAACGGGCCTCTGGGACACCCCTTGTGAGCTGCAACGATGGGGGTGTTGACTCACTTTATCTAGAAGACGTTGTGTCATCTACATGTTGCAAGCAGAAAAGCACCTCCTTCACTAAACACACAGGTGATGCTGTGGATCCCCTGTACGCTCAAACACATTTCGTATCAGGGACGAATACACCCACCCACCCACCCCCACCCACCCACCCACCCACCCACCCACCCGCCCGCCCGCCCGCCCGCCCGCCCGCCCGCCCGCACCGCACGCACGCACGCACGCACGCACGCACGCACGCACGCACGCACGCACGCACGCACGAAACATGCCGCCTTTTCAAATTCCCAGCATCGCCAGTGAGGCCTAACGTCACTTTGAACTTTGACGTATTTTGAAGTCTTTCAAGAGAAAGAAACACTGGGCGACTGTTTACTGGTGATACTGACGATGTTGTTTATTTCAGAGGTCATGCTGACGGTGTCGACCATATCCACAAAGTATGCGCTCGCTTGTCCTTCCATCTGGTTCCTTTATGACAAATGCCGAGCCAAGAAAGGCGCAACCCCTGTAAACCGAGTGGAGTAGAGCGGATCCAGGCATCCATCGCCTAGGCTCTGCAGCGGCGGCCAACTTCTTGGCTCTGCCAGCGTTGCCCGGGCGTCGGGGGGCAGTGTCGCTAGTGATCGACAGTGATGGTTGGCCAAGTGGTTTTGAGACCTCCGATGGCTTGCGAGGAAGCAAGAGATTGCCACGTTGAGCAATTGTCAGCTTGCCCAAGGGTTGCGGAGCGTGTTTTTTTCCCCCCTCGTATTTTTCTCAGACCTTGCGAGGTGGTGCCACTTTGTGCTGACTTTCATTTTGGGCGTGTCTTTTGCGCAGGGCAACCCCTTGGGGGGTCTGGTGGGTCGAGGTTGGGCCTCTGCACGGAGGACCTGCTGGTCATCGGAGAGGTGCCCAGCCAAGTTTCGATGATTTTGGGCGAAGGGTTCGGTCGAAATTGTTGGATTGTGCGAATTCCCATGAAAGGCATCATTAAGCTATCCTGGACCTTCAGCGTTACATACAGTTTGAGTCCCTTGGGTGCTTCTTCGCAGATTTGTGCGAGTCGCGCGTTGTTCAGGGGGACGGGCGCAAATTGGGATTCGAGCATTTTTGGCTATTGCGGCGCATTCTCTCTTCTCATATCGTCGGTTGCGTGGAAACATGTGGACATGCAAAACGAGCGCAAATACCCGCAAAACGAGCGCAAATACCCGCAACACGAGCGCAAATACCCGCAACACGAGCGCAAATCCGAATCATGTAAACATGTAACAATTGCTATTTGCAAGAAACCCATGTACGTTCATGAAACGAGCGTTCTTGGGCGAACGAGCACTTTTTCGATTATTGGGCGGAAATAGTTAGCCCGAGCATGCTTTGTCGTCACACACACATTTATGTAAGAATGGAAGGTCCAGGATTGTTAATGTTTTAATTTTAGTCCCAGCGGACAGTTTTTGTTTTTTGGTTTGGTTTATCCCATAAACCACAAGTCGGGTTGGATTGGTGGCTTCGGGATTTGATCCCCTGGCTCCTGTAGAGGGTGAATGAGAAACCAGATTAGAGGGCCAAAACTGGTTTCTCCGCGGCTAAAGAGGTAAAGTTAGGGGAGGCCTTCGGATGTTGCGACATGGGGGCTGAGTTTGTCGCTGGGCAATTCCTCAGGTTTTCTGTCTTGGAACATCGGATCGAAACTCTGTGGAGCCAGTTGCTTTTGAGGGGCACAGCCAACTGTTGGTTCGGGCAAGAGAGCCATGCAAAAGTGGAATTGCAATGCATTGGGTTCTCACAATACAATGCCAGTTTTGACATTTGCAGGTGCCACCAATTTTTGCACCAAGCGCCCATGCGGTCTTGGCTCCGTTGGGCGGCTGCCTGAATTTGTATCCTCGTTTTCACTTGTGACGCTGCGCAAGTTTTCCTCGAGCTTAGCGATTCGGGGGAAATTCAGCTCGGGCCCCATGATGAGGGTTGTTTGCTTGGGGTTGCCTAATTCCCAGTTTGGGAATTAGTGATTCGGCCAGATCACTTGTTCGTGGAGTTTAATCACTTGTCGCTGAAATTTGCAGCAGTTCTTTGGTCGCAACAGCTACTTCAAGTGCCACAGATGATCACATGTTGCGGTATAGCTTTGTGCTGGTCGCCTGATTAACTTTTTGGGAGAGCACTCCCACCATATTGCAGGAGGATGGACTTACCTAACGTTCAAGATATTCATTCCCAGTTGGCATGGGGTGCTGATGCCCTAAATGACTTTCAATGGGCTCCCCACTTGTCATGAACTGGTCACCGACCCTCCATTTTGCCAGGCCAACAAGGGTCAATCTAAACCGCCGCCCCGCAAGACGTAAACCTTTGGACTCATTTCAATCCCATGCCCGACATTCACAGCAACCCGAGACCCAAAGACGTTTCTACCCCCACCAGTGTCTCAATCAAAGCAAGCACATGTTCACGTCCGTGTAGATTGTTGGATCGAATGGACACATTACCTCAGGCATGTCATCCAGTTCAAAATTCAATGTGAGGATTCACTTCAGCACATTGGCTTGCTGTGGGGCGACGCGCCTGATGGGCCTAATGGCGGTCATATCTCTCAGTGCGTGACGCTCCTGTGGGGATCTCCTTGATTTCGGGCTGGCGGATGCACCTTCTTCGCGGCCCAGCATCGTTCAGGCTTCACCTTGATCAAGCAATACAAGGGCCTAGCTAAACACAATGGGTTTTGTGGAGGTACCTAAAAATAAACAATTATTTCATGATAGAAGAAGCGTGTAGTCGTTTGACCCCAACATTGGGGCCCTGACCTCGCCGGATTCGCGCGGTCAGGGCTCAGAGCTTTGGGCTCACGTGAGCCCGGGTCCTGGCCGAGTCGAAGTCGCAGGAAACAGTGACCACAAGGCACATCCCATGAACCAACCAACCAAGCAACCAACGAAACAAAGCAAAACAATCACGCAAACAAACAAACAAACAAACAAACAAACAATCAAACAAACACACAAACACACAAACACACAAACACACAAACACACAAACACACAAACACACAAACACACAAACACACAAACACAAGCAAACAGGCAGGCAGGCAGGCAGGCAGGCAGGCAGGCAGGCAGGCAGGCAGGCAGGCAGGCAGGCAGGCAGGCAGGCAGGCAGGCAGGCAAGCAAGCAAGCAAGCAAGCAAGCAAGCAAGCAAGCGCACAAACACACAAACGAACGGACAAACAAGCAAAACCACGACCACAGAACAAGCAAAACCACGACCACAAACAACACAAACACACATGTTTTCCCTCCCAAACTCAAGCATGTTTTCTAATGGCTGCCCGGTTATTGCCTGACACTGGAAATTCTCTAAGCGGCCGGGTGGATCATTTGTTCTCCGCAGGGGCATCCCTTTTGGGGGTTCGTCTAAAGGGCAGCCGAAGGGCAAATCACCCTATTTTCAGACACGCTCATTTGCAGTTTGTCTTTATGTCTGGTTTTTTGTTGCGGAGCCTGCCCAGCGAACATGACTAGCTACCTTTTGAAAGGTCGATGAAAGGTCGTGGCATGCGTCAACGTGCTAGTGAAGGAACTAAACACCATACTATTTGAGCAAGGGTCCAGTTTGCCGCACCATTCTTTGCGAGGCAAAGGGTTTGAGCTCGCCATTTGCCCAAATGCCTCCTTCACCTTTGGGTAAACCGAGCTCACACGAGAAGATTCCTTGCTGGGGCATTCCTGGTTTCCAGTTGGTGAGCGGTCCAAATTTGCCCAGATGTAATCTTGAGGTGGCTCCCTCTTAAGGCATTGGAGACGTGGCCTTGCTGGGAAAACTTGAATACTGTCGGCTTCTCGATGACTCGATGACTCCGGGGCTCTTTTCGAGCGCAATCCCCAACACCTCTCATCAAGCGACAAGCTTTCAAAGGGAAATGTCCAATCGTCTTGATCAGGAGCCATGTGCGAGAAAGGGCTAGTCGTCAGAGACTAGGTCAAGGGGAACGATTGCAACAGCCGGAAAATGCTCGGTGGCGCAAAGCCTGTCTGGTAACTTCCCACTCCCCAAAAACAATCACGGAATGAAATATGGTCCCTGGTCGAGGAAAATAGTCCTTCCAGGTCCCATGTTTGTCTTTTTGGAGCGTGTACGACAGCGAATCGCACTGGCAAGCAGCAGAAAGACGTGGCTCCCAGTTGAGTCACAATCAAAACCCGGGTAGTTGAAGGTTAGTGAGGGGCGATCCCAACCAAAAATAGGTGCGGCCGCCTTCTTAATCCTTTACATGGTTCTGGGTAGACCATTTTTGTACCAGGTTTTGATTGTGACTCAGTTGTTGGCAGGTGTGTGTCTGTGTGTGTGTGTTTGGGAGCAGATCTGCGTGAGAAGTAGTGGATGCTTGAGAGTGGGGTTCCAATTCAAGAATGAAGTGGTGGCAATTCGATTTCAATCTAACCACCATCTGACAGGATTTGGGTTTGTCTGTCTCATGGGGGAGCCCTAAAATGGTTGGTTGCCTTTCGGCTTCCCCTCAAACCCAACCAAGAGACGTACCCTCGAAAAAGACTGCCATTTATGACCGTAGAGAGCTTCTGAACAGCGCTCCGCTGGATCGCCCACGGTTAGGCAACACGCGAAGATCAGCGGTGTTGGCCGGTGACCCGAGTTTTTTTCTGGGCAAGTTAGAACGACGTCACGTTCCGGGGTTTGCGATGTTACCTATCATAAGGTTTCCTTCATAAGGGGGAATTGCTTCTCTCGACCCACTCCCGTATGGCAACTCGCATAGCCATCCCGAACACTGGGATCAGGGGCTTAAGAGGGCTCGCCCTCTGCACCCACTACCCAGCTTTTTTCAACTCCTGTCTCAAAAAGGAGGCAAATATGCCCCGAAAAAAACGAGTATTTGGATTAGGGGGTACCCATGAAGGCCCACTGGGAGGTTCCACAAAGCTTCTTACAGTCATCATAAATCATGGCTGATCTTGGATGTGACCCCAAAGGCCCAGTAGAATTTGTGGCAACACACGCTCCGTACCTTCAAAAGGTTATCGACCTTTTGTTCAGGGGGGAAGAGCAACCCAGTTCAATGGAGGTGCTTTACTAGCATGTGCCTCAATATTTCTCGCAGTCATTTGCTCATGTTCGAAGGTTTGATTCCCCATTCTCTTCACCCATCGCTCTCTTTGGAACCCCCCCCCTCAATTTTCCAGGGTTTTGGCCCATTCTTTGAAGAGAATGATGCCTGAAGAGAATGGGGAGGGTACAGCTAGACATGTACCCATCTTGATCCATTGCACCTGTGAGGCCCGTGCGGCCCACAGGACCTTCCTGGAGGTGCCTTGGCAAAACCCCTCGGTGCAAGGCCTCTGGACAAGGTACCCTCTCCAAATGCCCTTGTTTTGTTCATGGTATGTTGTGAAGAACCAGGTTTCCGTGGTAACCTCTTTCTTTAGGCCTTGCATCATACGCTCCCTGAAAGAAAGTGGGTATTGGGTGTAGGGGGGTACCTTGAGAGTGCGCTTCGGAGGACTGTTAATCTGCGGCCTGGGTTTCACCAGGGTCTGGTTCAGAAGTTTTTGGACTGGTGGCCCCTCGATTGATTGCGAGTTCTCCATTCCGTCCGGCTAGTTTCAGATCCCCTGTCGCAGGACCTCGGTTCTTTGCGGAACCTGAAGATCTCCCATCCTGCACAAGTTGTTTTTGGACAGAAGGTTTGTCTCAAAATGGGGACCCCAAATATACCTGGTTTCCTTCGGGTCTCCGTCCTTTAAAGTTGGGGCTGCCAAGGTGTCCCTCTACTCCACATGTATCGACAAGTTGTGATGTTCCGATGTTCGAGCTGGAGCTGCCGAAGTGACATCGCGTACTTGCACAGACCATTTATGTGTTGTACTGGCAAGTCGCATTTGTTTTTGCGCAGCCGTGATTGTGTTGAGTGGCGTTGTCGCATAGGCGCGCGGGGAGGCATCTAGTCGACTTGGCTTTGCGGTAGGCGCTAGGCGTTATTGTGGGAGTGGTCGCTTTTGAAGGAGTAGGCAAGGCGCACGCAAGTAGCGAGAGCTGCGATGCCTTCGACTCTTAGGACAGCTTGGATTCGGCCTTCCAGGAGCGATCCGGGGTTGCGTGCGGGCGGAGGAGCTCGAACTTTTATCGGTATTTGGCGATGGAAAGCAGGGGTTTAGAGAAAGCACACATCCTCCTCTGTTTGCTTCCTTTGGAGGAATCAAATAATACCGTTGCCATTTAGCACCCAGGACTCACTAAATTTGAGCCCCACATGCCAGGGGACGAGATCTAAGTTGTCTGGCTGGTGCTAGATTCTTCAGTGCGAGGGAAACTACGTGCAAGGACTGTTTGTGAAGTGCGAGTGCTGACTATTGAGGTGAGGCCGGACGACATCCTTTGTGGGGTACACTTCCCTCACGATTTCTATGGGTCGCTGTTGTTCAAAAGGGCGGTCTCCAGGCTGAAACCGGAACTGGTGCCCCGGCCTTTTGCCGCTAAGAAGAGCTGCCCTCGTTTCACTGCCTGGGGGTGTGGTCGTCGGTTTTGAGAAACAGAGTTGCCGCTTGTTGTGTTGTTATGGAGACAAAGCGATACCAATGGCCGAAAAAAAGACAACCTCACCGTGCTCAGCAGTGAAGCCGTCTTTGCTGGGGATCTGGTTCGGCCTCTCGCAGGTGTGCGGCTCCCTAGGCTCTGTTCACTAGTCACTAGGCCGACCACGTGGACTTGGAGGCGCTTTGGCAGTCCTTCCTTGAGGCAAAGGGCAATCTTCAAGGGGGAAGCCGCTGTCAAGGAGCGGCAACCTTTTTCAGGGGTGAATCATCATTTTCCCAGAATAGTTGATAAGATGTTGGCATTCCGGCCAACAGAAGTTCCTGTGACTTGGCATGTTTCAAGACAGGCCGTCTAAGCTTGCCGGACTTGGAAAGAGCCCACCGGTTTCACCGCATTTGCATGTGCAGTGAAGCCGGTTGGAAGGCCGACGGGCCAGCTTTGCGAGCTCACCAGGAGCTGCGCGGCAATCCCGAAGCCAGCTACGTGGGCCTTGAGGAGAGGCAAGGGCAGGCTTGGCAGGTGGCATCCAAAGGTTTCCTAACTGTCCAGGGCTCCTTAAAAGATACATTTTGCGCATTTGAAACATGGCTTTTTCCACCAAAATAAAGGGAATCCAGCATTTACAAGGCAATGTTCAGGTGTACAATGTAAGGATCCCTGCTTTCGTTCCCCTGTCCCTTGACCGGGCTCCTCTGGGGTCTGCTTGTTTGGAGCTCGAGATCTTTAACAAGGACCTTTTCTCAAGTTCCGTCATGCGCAATGGAAGACATGCCGAAAGAATGCCGAAAGGGAGGGCAACATGGTTGAGAGCTGCAACGCTAGGCATGGCTTACCTGGGAGAGTTGCGCTGGAACACAGGTGGTTTGGAAGGCAGGTGGGTGAGGGGCGTCTAAGGCGCAAGATGCTGGAACTGGAGGTGGGTGAACAACAGTTGGTTGGGTTTTATACTTGTTCTCAGCCCTTGAATGCTTGTCCGGCAACCACGTTCATCTCTGACTGGCAAACATGATTTCAATCGTGAGTTCTGGTTGGCGCTGCGAGCCCTTATTTGCTCTGGTAATGACACTGGAGACTGACAAACAGAAATTTGCAAGCCGAAGTTCCGGGTGTTTGGCTCAGATTCTGCCCCCTGCCCCCGTAACCACCCACCTCCCTGCCCCGCCTCCTCCCCTCCATCCTCCACCCTCATGCCCCCCCACGGACAAGGTTTGTCGCGCAGGACACCCGCCTGGCACCAGCCTTCGACCCCCAAACGCTGCTCTACCGCTCCAGGGCCACTTGGCGCTTTTCCGTTTGCACGGAAATGGGGCCAGTTTGCAGTTAAGGCCGTACCGCAAAAGAGTGCTATAGGTGGAAGCTATGGAAAGTCAAAGCAATTGTTGCGTCTCCCTGCGGCGTTTGTGCATTTTCACAATCCCTGGTTGCCACGGGTAGTTGACTGCAACATGGTGTTTGTGTGATTCATCACCATTTGACCTGTTTGTTCTCCAGATGCGCGGGTGTTTGTTCCCCTATATTCCACTGGTGGTGACGAGGCTAGCTATCGAAGAGAAAGTCAGAAACACAAGAGGTACCGATCTTGTTCCCATTTCATTGAGGGCCATGGGGAGACCTGTTACTGTTCCGATTTCTTGCAACAAACGCCTGGATGACCTTTAGTCCGATTGGGATTGGCAGTTTTGAGGTATGAGAAAAAACACTTGCCTTGGTTGAAACTTGCGCTCCCATTCAAATCATTCATGGCGCTTGCATGAGTGCTTGATCCATGTCCCCTATTGAGTTTGGCATGTTTTAACCTGACTCGCTTTGACTGCGTCCCATGAAAATCCTGACTTAGAACACGTTGTGAGACTTTGGCTTCGTGCTTGATCTAGATTTCACCACTTGTGTTTGTCAGTTGGTCGCCTGCACAGCCATTCAAGAGGGATCACTGAATTTGGGGCTGTCAAAATGTGGAACCCCCAAAATGGGTGGTTTCCCTTTGGTTCCTCTTTTCGCCAACCCCAAACGTTTTGGCAATTGCCACAAGAACTGGCAATTGCTTTCACAGGCACACACCATTTACATTTAGAGCCACAGCAAACTGGCTGATGTTGGGACGCCCGCTGCCCAGCTTCCGTCCGTTGGGTTCATGAGGCATGGGCGCGGCTGGCTACCTGGGTGCGGGAGATGCCGGGGCCCCAGCCCAACAACTTGGTGCGATAGGGCATGACTCGGGGGGGTTCGGAATGAACCCAAAACTCCCCTGAAAGGAAACCACAAGGTATGGTTTGGCATTTTGGGAATGAACTGGAAGTGGGTTCCCCGAAAGGAAACCACCAGTTCAGTTGGATGGTTAATGAGACAAGTCATTCCAATTCTCATTCCCTGAGCGCTAGCCAGACAAGGAGGTGTGTAGGCCCTTTTCCGGAACTATGCACGTCCATGCTTGTTGGAGGGTGATCCTAGGCGAACCCTGAGGAGTTGAATTTCGCGTTGAGCTGAAGAGTGTCTTAGGATCCCTCTTGTTCTTGTTGCTATCTTTCTTTCTCTCTGGTGTGGTCTCTTCTTGTCTTGTCTTTCTTTATTTGATGTCCTGTCATTTATCGGTTATGTTTGATTTATTGATGTATTCGGTTCTGTTTTTGTTTTTGTTGTTTGTTTTTTCGTTCTTTATTTGTTTTCTTATTTCTGTGTTTCTTTATTTATGTCTTCTCCCTCTCTTTCTAGCTGTTGCTGTATTATTTGCATATATACATATAGATATACACATACATGTTATATATATATATACATATTATACGTAACATATCAATATTCAGACACACAGACAAACACACGCAAACGCTTCTGTATAATGTATATTGTACCCCCCCTTCGACACCGAGGTGTTCCATCTGGTGGACCTAGTACAATGGAAGATACGCAACACGCCTGCATAAACACTGCAAACATGAATAATGCTCCACTTCTACAGTGGAAACATACACAAACAACCGCAGCAACCCTGCACGAAACGAGTATGTTTCGGAAAATACACAAACAACATGCACACATGCATATTGAGTTATTTCTTGCAGTTTTACTTTTCTACGGTCTTCCAGTAAACGTTCAAATGAACAAGTAAAGATTCAGGCCTCATCACAAGAATAACTGTATAAAGTAATTCATTTGACTATCTATAAAGTGAAACATTTGAACCCATGAAAAGTAAGACATCAACTGCCTAAAGTAAAGCAAGTTTTGATTGTGGGAGTTTTGCGCTGGTTGCTTGTACTGCGGAAAAGTCGCAACATAAAGTTTCCTGCAGCAAACAAGCAAACGGCACGTTGTACTTTTGGCAGTTAACTCCTTACTTATCATGGGCCGTGTTACTTTTGTGCTTGACGTTGCCCAGTTAGAAGCTAAAACTGCCCGAAGTAGAAACGTGCCCCTTTGTCCAGGCAATTGAGAGAGTTTGTGTTCTCACTTTTCTGGCGCTTCCAGGCGCAAAACCCAGGCTTAAAAAAGCAACCCATAATTGGAGGCAGCAATGCTAAGCCAACACCAAGCTAGCATTGAGCTGATACTGAAAATTAATGCTGAAGGATTGCTCAACTGTTTCTTGACTAGGAGTACAACAATTGGGAAATACAAATCCGATTTCAAGCTAAAAGCAGCAATCTTCAAACTAATACTGCTAATAAATGCAGAAGCAACACTTGGTCAAGAATATGACTGAGCTAATTCTAAACAGTTTCTACTACACAAGTGAGTTACTCAAAGCCCGTACCGGAGTTCAGGCTGCCTGGTACAAGAAAATAGCTTTGCGCCTGTATGCCTGCATCATCAATGCTGAACCAACATTAAACTAATACTGAGCCGATGCCGTGCTACTAAGAACTGCTGAAGTTCTGCTCAACTGTTACTAGATTGGAAAGACAAATACAAGACCGGTGCCAAACTAGACGAAGCAATGTTGTAACTAATGTGGCTACTAAACTCATAGGGAATACTTGAGAAATGATGTTACTCAATTAATACTAGAATGCTACTGCACCAGTACTGAGTTAATGAAAGGATAAATGCCTGTACCAGAGTTTAGGCTGCATGGTCCACATGTGTATGTGTGTGTGTGACGTTCTCTCGCGCTCTGTTGTTTTCTCTGTCTCCCTCTCCCTGTCTCTCCCGCTTTCTCTCTCTCTCTCTCTCGCTCTCTTTGTATCTTTCCCCCTTGTGTTTTCGCTGTCTGCAATGTGGTGGGCAGCAGGGCCCTCAAGCACATCCAAAGGGAATGGCCAAGGAGCAAAAGCGGCATTCGGCATTCAGCTTGTGACAGTGAGTCATTCACCGGTTGAAGCGGCCAGAGTTTGCATGTCGTGTTTGACAAGTTCAGCCCGCGTTTCCTTCTAGTCGGCCGAGTGTGCACATCCTCTCCAGTGGTGATTTGGACACCCGTCCTTCTTTTTGGAGGGGGGGTCCCTTTAAGTCAACTACCAATGTACGGCTTTGAGGCTTCAAACATGTTATTCGCGCTTTGCCTCCCAAAGGGGGAGACGCGCTGTTTCATGGACATGAACTCGGGCTTCGTTCCAGTCTTTTGGGGGAGGGAGCGGAGTCTTTGACAAGCCTTGATTTTCCGTGGCTGCCAGCTTCGTGCTTTAGGCTGCGGATATCGCTACGGCTGATGGCCGGAGGCTGCCCGGAAGCGAAGTGTGTCAACTTGGCTTGGCAAGGGGGCGAAAGGAGCAACCCAGACTAGGGTGTGTGTTTGTTTTTGGGGTTTGCGTGGGAAACGTTAATCCCAGTTTTGAAGTGCCTATTTAGAGTACAGGTGGCATCCTAGAGCCAGCCGAGGGCAGAAAAACGCGCCGTTTTGAGTTTTTTTTTTTTGGGGGGGGGGGGTTAAAAGGGAAATTAAAGGGACAGCGGGGGGTTTCTTTTGGGACAATCCAATGGCCAGCCAGATGTTCTTATTCTACACTCGGAAGAACTTGGCGAAGGATAGGAATTGTTGGACATCCACAGCATTTCTGGAAATAGAAAGGTCGCGGAAGTGAGCTTCAAGCTCAACGCCCGTACCGCGCCATTTGCGGCACCTGAGTCGCGAAGTGACAAGGAACCGCTCAGAAGAAGGCCACATCAGCCACATTATTTTGGAAGGTTAAAATTCCTTGCACAGTTGCAGGCCAGACGTAACGGAGGGACTAGGTTTCAAGCGGTACTTCAGCGCAAATTGAGGAGTCAGCAGATGTACACGGCAAAGAGACTACCCTCCCACCAATTGAAATGGAACTGGAACCTGACAGGGAGTCTCTTTAAAAGGAACATGCTCTTCCAGGACCCCCCTGTCAGCTTCCATGTTTCTAGGTGGGAGACCAATATGTTAGCCTATGGATGGTCATGACCATAGGCGTTTGACCCTGCAGTACGTGTCTCCAGTGATCAGGCGGGATGCGCCGAACTTCAGGGGCACGCGAAGTTAGTTTTATCAAAACTACTCAACTTGCAAAACACTGATGCAATTCCCTCCCCTGAAAACCAGCAAGAGTCACCCCAAGCTCTAGCTTCATTCCCACCTCTCTTGATTCTATCATAGCAAGTTAACAATCCAATTTTGGTGCCTTGAGTGAGGTAGCACAGGATCACACCTGGATAAGCAATGGGAAGCACCTGAGTAAAGGACACCTGGTATTCCCTGGTCTTATATCATTCCAGTCACTCCCCGCTCATTTCACTCACTCCACTCACTCCACTCACTCCGCTCACTCCGCTCACTCCGCTCACTCCGCTCACTCCACTCACTTCACTCACTCCACTCACTCCACTCACTCCACTCACTCCACTCACTCCACTCACTCCACTCACTCCACTCACTCCACTCACTCCGCTCACTCCGCTCACTCCGCTCACTCCGCTCATTCCGCTCACTCCAATCACTCCACTCACTCCACTCACTCCACTCACTCCACTCACTCCACTCACTCCACTCACTCCAGTAACTCCACTCAACTCCACTCACTCCACTCACTCCACTCACTCCACTCACTCCACTCACTCCACTCACTCCACTCACTCCCTCTCTCACTCATGCTCACGCGCTATACTCACAAGTTCTCCTAGGGCTTGACTAATGCCATGATTTCGAAGAGGGTCCCCACTTCGTTTGGCCATGCGTTCGGAGGCCTCCCGGCAGAGGCGAGGGTTGGCCGGTTGGGTCGAGGGTTTTTTAGGGCGGGCTGCCTCTTGGTAATTTGTTTCCGGACGTCCAGTGGTGCCATTACTTTGTTGTTGAGGGGGGTTCCCTTTAGGACCTCAGAAACGGACATCCACGGGTCTGGGATCTCATTGGTTTTTTGCCCATGGTGCGGTCCGGTGCGATTTTTCGAGTGGCAGAAGAAGGCTTGCTCCCTAAGCATCAGAAAGGACCCTCCAGTCAAGACCTTTTTGAGGCCTCGTTTCTGGGGGAAGCCTCCAAAACAGCAGTATATTTTTAGGGTGGGCAAAATATGACACAGAGTCAGACAATTGTTCATGTCTGTGTACACCAGTGGATCAGGCTTTGATGGTTAGGGCCTATGCCAAATTGGATGTCTTAAAAAAAGAAGCTCTTGAGCCAGTTCGATGAGTTTTCCGTCGGGGGTGATGTTGAAGGGGGAAGTGTAGGGAGCCCTGGTTTGCAACTCGAATGTGCTTGCGGCCATACATGACTGGCAGCCTTGATATCTTTGCTGATGTGTGCGCTGTTCTGAATAAGTCCGCAACATGTTTAATGCCAGATGGTACAGTAAGTGGTTTCCTTAGTTCTAGAACTCTAGTGTTGTTCTGCTTTTAAACAACAAGTGTGTGGTTTCCCCGCAACCGATTTGTTCTTTCTCGTTCAAGCGTGGGTTCTGAGGCCAACGCGAGGTCTCAGCTATGTGTTTCGTTCAAGTCGTGGCAGGCAAGGCTTGGAATTCCTGCGCACAAAGGGGTGTGTGTGTTTCTTGAGGGTATATATCATTCTAATGGTTGGCTGAAAGGGAAACCAAAAAGGGTGGCTTCCATTTTTTTGGGAGTACCCCTTGACACAAATCCGGCGCATTGCGAAGCCACCAGGTCTGCGTAGCAGCTGCTGCCCGGTGCATTGTAGGCCGGGCCTCGCCCGCGAGCGACGAAGCGGGCGGGCCCACCCTGCGGGTGTGCTTGGGTGACTATAGAATGGGTGTGGCTCACAATTAAAGAGCTAGGGCTACGCAGCTTTTAGTCTTTGGTTCCATTTACCAAAGGGACACTTTGGTACATTTATTTGAGCCACAGGCGAATGAGCAAGTACAACTTGTCTCATGTACATACCTCAACACCAGTGTACGAATGTAGGACACACACACACACACACATGCAGGTGCCCATTTGCAATTATGATGTCTCCCCTCTATCGTCTGCCTTTGCCTTCCTTTCCCTTCCGTTTGCACATGTAACCCCGGTTTGGTTTCCTGCCGTGTGGGTCTTTCTTTCATCTTCACCAACTGGTGCGCACACGTGCCAAAACGAGAGCGGTTTTTCAGCGATGAGATAGAGAGCACAAGCCATGTTCTGTGACAGCGCTGGGGATGGACTTTGAATTTACCTCGCGCCAGGTGGCTTGTCCAATAGTCTTGGCCAGTCCTCCTGGTCCTGCATGTTCCCTTCGGCGGGGCCAATCAGCTCGACGTCAGATTTATCAGCTGAGTGTTTGTCACCGGTCCCCTGTGTGCCATGGCTGCGTCGTGCTGGGCCGTTTAGAGCTGGTTTCGATTTAATCGGTTTAGAATGCGATCTGTTCGGAGCACAGGTTTTTTAACTAAACCTCTACCAGCCCACCCCTTTTTCCTTGTTTTGTTCGTACCATTTTTCATCCGCTTGGGATGGCCTCGGGGAATCGCTTGAGAAGCCAGTCCGTGGTTGAGTGTGGTTGGTTGGAAGAGTTTTCGGACAGCCGTCTGGGTGTTTCTTACACAGACCCCCCAACAATAAGTTAATTGCTTCCATTTGGTTTCCCTGAGCATCCAAAAAGGGTCTCCATTTTGAGACACTCCCCGAATTTTGGTGGCCTTCTTTCTTGACTGCTACTGGGTTGGATCTTTAGACTTTAACTTTTCGGGAAATCAAGGGGCTTTCCACTAAACCCCCAAACACTTAAGCTTTTTGCAGGGGGGTCAACCGCAACCTTCAGCTTTCCAGGTCTCTCGGGGCTGGAGCTGGAGCTTTTGCCGGCGCACTGGGAGCGCTGGAGCCCCAGCGCGATGGCGCGATGTGAGGACCGCGGTTTCCAATTCGAATGCTACCCCGACCAATTGCCAAGAACCCAGGCTTCAACCCCAAAACATCCCATAACTGAGATAATGGACCTGAGAACCCCTCTAAGAACCAAGGATCCAAGGATGTTTTCGGAGTGGATCCAAGGATGTTTTCGGAGTGGATGCATGTTGATCCACGATGAAGCAGAAGCTCTGGTTGATTATTGGGTCCATTTGGGAGGGGATTGAGATCACATTTGGAGGAAAAGGTATGTCCATCAATCAATCTGCCAGGTTTCATCCGCGTCTGCGTGCAGGGGGTGTGGGGTTTTGTTTTTTGTGCAACAATGTTTGGTGAGGCGGGGCCAGGCCGACGTTGTCCGTTTTTCACGTCTCGGGTTCTCTCCGAGAGCGGCCATGAAGCCTCTGGTCCCGTGCCGAGGGTTTTACGATCGCACCTCCAAAGCTTTAGCCCCTGGCCCTTGCAGCCCCGGCACAGCGAAGCGATCGCCATGTTTGCGTCGAAGATTGCTTTGCGGAATGGACATGGGCATTGGTAAATGGGCAGACGCGACGATCTACTTGGAGATGTTGGGCTTTGCTCTTGGCCAACTTGCGGAGACGGTGTGGCCACTGTGGGATGTGATTTGCGTAAGGGTCGCTGGACGTTCGTATGTGTCCAAATCGGGAGGGGGGGGCGGTGAAACCCGCATGAAGTGAATTTCCTCGAACCAAAACACGGGCCCATGTTCGGCGTGTGCATCTTATTCTGGCCCACATCTTGCTGCAGACCCTACCAACTTTTGAAGGTCCCGCCTTTCGTCGCTCTTTCCTTGGCCCCGCTGACGAGCACACCCACAGAGTTGCCGGCCAAGCTTGCATGAAGTGCTTTGCTCGGGTCCTGATTGTCTTCCGCGCAGTTGTTTTGTTGAAGCCAATTTTCATGCGGTGCCACACATGATGTGCGGGAGACATGGTTCGTCAAGTTTGGAGCATCCGACGAAATTGCTCATATAACGAGGCCTTGCACTCTGCAGGAGATACCTTTTCCTAAGCCGCCTAAGCGTCAGAGTTTTCTTGGCAGCCTCGGTACTTATGCCACACACACACACACAATACAGCATCTGCACAATACTGCAATCACCAGCAAGGATAAACAGCCCTTGGTTTCTTTTGGCTCTTCCATGGCGATTTTTTTCCTTTAGAGCTTGGGCATCAGTCATTCGCACGTGCAGCAACCTCCTTGGCGCAGGAGTTTGCATGAGGGGGCTTGCTTGGCCCCTTGACCATTCACACAAAATAAGGTATCTGCCCTGAAAAATATTGTCCAAACGTAACATATACAAACCAAAGGTCGGAGTACGTGTGGTGCCGTGGGTTTCGCGCGGCGATCTTTGAGGTGTCGTCGATTCGAGGGCACCGAGCAAAAAGCCCATGAAGGTCCCGCAACTTGAGGATGCCTTGTCGACTGTGATGGTATCTAGTCATTTGCCCACATCTACCGCATATTCCCGACATACTTTGGCCGGGGCTACCCACAGCCCCGCAATGAATGTGGCCTTGGGTACTTCTTTGTTTCGGGTTTGGGACATTTTGGGACGAAACTAATCTTGCCGCGCCCCAGGCTGTGACTGAGCCAGCGCTCCGACCTTTCACGGGGAAAAGGCCGATGCGAAGGGGGCGGTGGAGCGTCGCAGCAAGAACGGGGCAGAAGTCGTTCAAGGCGATTCCCCAACGCTGGGCCCTGTGTTCAGGAATCAAGCTTCGTTTTGCAGTGCGCGCATGCTTTACTTAGGCGCTCGCTCTAAGAATATGTGGGACGTTCTGTTTCCGTTCCTCGCCTCTCAGGTGCTTTATTTTACAAGTGTTGCAAGGCCTTTTCGGATTGCGAAATCAAGGAACCTGGCAAAACACTTCATGTTTGCAGACTGGCGCAACTATTTAACTCCCGTTGGGGTGTGCCGGCAGATCCTGTCGATTTTGGCTGCCCACAGCGCAAAGCACAAACAAGACTACGCACAAGAACATCCACAAGCCGACAGAGCCCTCGGATTTCATGGGCATGCCAGTTGTCAGGATGCTTAAGGGACATCCGTTGTGCTTTTCGAGGGTTGCGGGGATTGCCTTTGGGTACTGGGCGTATTTCACTTAGTGTTTGGATTGGACATCTGACATCTGCCAAAATGCGCGCCATGTAAGACAGGCCGCCTTTGCAATGCGCCATTTCCGCCTCTTGAAGACTTGCCTGGGGAGAATCGAGTTTTCAAAGGGTGCCTGGCCCGTCCAGACCCACACATTCCTGGGATTTGCGCACATCCTACTAGCCTTCGGCTCACGGAGCGATGGGAGGAGTTTTTTAGGCGCGCTCATGGTCGGGGGCCTAAGATGGTTGGCAGTTGGCAGGGCCAAAGTCAGTGGCAGTCGGTTGACGCTTGTGGGCGCCTATGGTGCGCCTATGGTGCGCCTATGGTGCGCCTATGGTGCGCTTTTTTGCTAGAGCGAAATGAATGTTGGTGCCATTGGTCTGCACGTATGTTGCTTTGTGCGTGCGAAAAGATGCAGTCATGGTATATCCAAAGTGCTGGCTGGTTGACCTGTGACAGAATTCCATCATGAGCATCCTGGTGCCCGAAAGGCGCTTTTTTTTGCCGTTTGCGTTTCCCCACTTTTTTTCCCCAACAGCTGACAGCTTTGGGGTCTCAGCCCAGATAGGCTCCGGGGTGGTCCGGGGCGGCCCTGAGGTAAGGCTCCACGAGGGTTCCACCAGGGTTCCACCAGGTTCCACCAGGTTCCACGAGAGTTCCACGAGGTTCTGCGAGGGCTGCGGGGTGCCGCATGCTGTTGGGGATATCACCTGCAGAGCTTATTTGGCCGTTATGAAAAAATACGGCCGACCACAGAAAGAACACTTTTATTTGGCCGTTTGCCATCGTTTGCCTTTATGGCAAACTTAGAAACAAACGCTTGCCATAGTGCTTCACGCATGCCACGCAAGCTTCGGAAACCAGAAACCTGCCAACGGGGCCAGAGAGCCCAGACAAGTATGGTAAGAGGGCCCCTTTGAGGGGCTGCCCCTACGGCAGCCGAGCCACTCCCAACATGCACTTTCCTTTCTCGAGCTTCGAGGGGGCAAATGCCCAATGGGCTCCTTCTGGTTGGTTCGGGTTTCCTGCGAAAATTACGGGTTTTCTACGGTTTTTGTACGGGAGTTGTACGGCTTTTTTGGGGTGTTTTGCCGAACTACTACGGAAGATGATGCTGGGTGAGTTCTTCGAGAAATTCCGGCCGAACCTTGCAGCAAAATGCAAAAATACGGCCGTCCCGCCTAAAATTATGGCCGTTCCCTCGAGAAATACGGCCGTTCCTATCTTGCTGGTTGGGACATAGTGTCCGAAGCATGTTGCCTGGAGTGGGTTTTCAATGTGTAAAGATTCCACCCAAAAAACGTAAGCACCGTTGCCTTGAAACATTACGGCCCTGCCTTGGAGAATTACGGCCGCGGGGAGAAATTACGGCCGATTCTGGGAACACCAGGTTTTTCTGGAACACCAAAAAAAAAGGCAGCTTTTTCAGGTACCAGGATGGTATTATGTCAACCGTCGCGAATCTTCGAGCAGCTTATCATTTGCTGCTTGCGAGTTTTTGGCAGTGGCCGCCGTTGTTTGTCACTTCCGGCCGAGGTGGCTGAAGACGAGGCAGCGGGGAATCGGGGTGTTGTCTTTCTCTTTGTCTGGGAGGACACAAACATTGACTCAGATGTTCGAAACCGACTTTTCCTTTTGGTCTCCCCTTTTTGTCCACTTTTAGTATAGGTCGAACTTGATGCTCGGCCTATGGCGTCTGGCGAGCTACGATTCGTCGAGCATCCGGGGTATCCTTCTTCTTTGGGGTCTCCAACATCATGCTTGACGTTAGGGTAGACTTAACATTTGCTGAAATGATTTGTTGTTCCCTGTTGGTTTTAAAGGGAATCGATCACTACTGGACATATTTTCAATTTTTCCAGGGGGCTTAAGCAAATGGCAGTAGACTAAACATGTACCATCCTCTGAACATTCTGTGTTTTGTGTAGATGGATTTGAGCGGGCCCCGAGTTTGTTGTCCTAGGCGTGCGGTTTGTGTCGCGGAAGGGTCTCCGGTCGGTGGGCTGGTCGGTCATTTGGCCGCCTTCTGTGGCTCGGCTTGACAACCATCTCGCTTGTCCAAAGCCGACTTTTTGACCACTGGTTCCCCATTCGGGTTCAAGGTCCCCAAAGGTTACCTGTTCTTTCCTCTTTTTTCTGGGCAAGCGAGCTGTGGGACCACCATATTGTGGATGGGCCGAATCCTGCACCAGATGCTAGGTGGTCCATTTCAGTGTTCATTTCGTCCATCCCAACTGCTGCTTTGTGGATGCACAGGACAAATCTTTGGTGCATTTTGCTTGGATGTTACGACTTAGACTTTTTGCCAAGTAATGGGTTTCCATTAAACCACTAAATGTGAAACACCTTGAGCAGGGGAGCAGATCTCGCGCCCGAGACATGGCGACGCTCGGTGTTTTTTTCGCAGGACATCGTGGGCCGCGAGATCGGATCCGCGGGGGGGCGTATGCGTTGGGTCCAACCCGCAGGGCGGGCGGGGTGGGTTTGCCACCTACAGGAAGCCACCCGATTTTTAGGTTGCAACTTTTGTCAGATGCGGCCATGGCCCTCGAAATTGCCTGGCTTCAATCGCGGAAGCTGACAGAAGGGTGCTGGAAGACTGGAGTGACTGGAGTCCTTTTGAGATGTCCATTTCTTGTTGCAAATTGCAAAGGGTAGTGGTTCTAATTTGGCGGTGCCAGCTTTAGGCACGCGATGTTGTGCTGCGCCCTGGGTATCAGGTATGATTCAGTGGGCCACCTGCCGGAACATGGGGGGCACTTTGGAGACCAACGGACCAATCAAAGGCCCCAACCCCTTGAAACAAGTCCGCACCTAGGCCTCGAAGGCCGAAGGGCAGAAGGGCCTTCCCGGCCTCACATTCCAACCGCGCCCCACAACGCTGGCAAAAGTACACGCAGCTGTAGTTCTCTTTTTGTAGGCAGCCAACCGGTTATTTGCCTCTTGAAGGTTTCCTTTAAAACTACCAAAAAAGGGGGGTAGCCTCACGAAAAGACACGCCCACACAACTCCCTCACTTCAGTTTAGTCATAAAGGGAATTCTGTGGTGTGCGTTCACTCTGGAGTAACTCAGTCTCTTTCTCTCAGGTTAGCGGGTCGAGATTTATCAGAAAGCTTGTGCACAGGATAGGCATGGGTGTCCCAACCTTCTTTTCAGCCTTTTGGGTCTTGATTTGTCGCGCAGGCAGCAGTGCAAGCAGATGACCTTTTTATGCGACTCTATGCAAATGGAGTGAGATTCATGCAGGGTTGCCTGCTTTGCCAGTATGTCACTCAGATAAAGCCTCAAACATTGAATGGATATGGAAGCATGTTCATCCATTTTCACACTATGACTGACAAGGCAACTGACCAAGGCGTGCTTCAACTGTCCCATTGACTAAATTCAACCGAGAGGGACTTAATGGTATTCTCCCCAGCAGTGGCTCAAACAAATTGCACTGCAGATGACCATGGAACCCAAAGAACACACCGTTTTTGGTGCCCACGTTTCTGGGCGGTTCCCAGCTTCCCCTTAGGTTTTTTTGCGGTTCAGTGGGGAGGGGGGGTTCCAATCAACCCACCAAATGTTATCTAGGTCTCCCAGTGCCCTTTTACCAATTCTTTTGGGGGAGGGTTCCCCTACGAAAATAGACTACAGATAAAAAATCGGGTACCAACTTATTCTAACCTCTCTACTGGAGGACCTAGTTATTTACTTCTAGCCGGGCATCTGAAAGCAGACAGACCTGAGGCGGTGCCGTTGAAGCAGCAGGGCCGGGCAGTGCCATCGGCGCCGAAACGGCCCAAGGCGGAGTCGGGAGTCGAAACCGGTGAGCCTGGAGTCACTGATGAACGAAATCCATTTCGCACCCGTTCAGAACCCTGGTATTTGGTTCGACTCTCCTGTAAATACAAAGAAACAATGATTTCATGATTCAAATCCCCGGAGTAAATACCAAGAAACATGTGTTTGAATGATTAGATTCTGTAAATATCAAGAAACCGTATGGTGTCAACCATGGTTTGATTTTGTGGTGCGAAATGGTTTTTGGCAATCCACAGTAGCACAGGACAACTTAGGGTCCCTAGGTTGCTCTCGGCTTGTCCAACTCAAAACAGAGGGTATTCTTGGAACACAAATTATCTACGTGAACACTACTGGATTCAACCAAAGCAATGGTTAATACCACTGCTATTGTTTGCCTAAGGAGCTTTGTCATCTGAATTGGGTGAACCATGGTTTAAACGGAGGTCGACCTTTAGGGATAATGAAGGGGCGAAACAATTCCTGACATTCTGCCCCTATGAGCATGACTCAATTTGGTGATAACAGTACTGACAGCCCCATTCTCGGTGTGTTGGGCCCTTATAGTACGTCGGGCACATCTGCCAGCTGATTTAGAGGATCCGAATGCTTGCAGTGGTAGGTTTTATCCTTCTACCGGAACCACTGTTGTACTTTTGGCCCCAAAAGGAGAACCTGCAACCGTGACCCCAAAAGGGCCATGAGGATATTTGTTCAAAACAGAGACGCGGCAACAGGCTCCCATCAACGCTTGGGATGCGGGCCCGGTGGGTTTGGCAGATGATCGTGTCAGGTGGAGCAGGTGTCTTCCGAAGAGGAGGAGGAGGAGGAAGAAGATGCTGAGGAGGTTCCGGCGCTAGTAGGCTTTGTCACACGCAAACACCAGCACTCACACGCACACATGCACGTGCAGACACACAGAGACACACAGACACAGGCACACTCACACACATGCGTGCAGAATTGAGGGGACTGCATGCGCCGCGGCTCTTCCCACATTTTCAGCTCAAGATGTGTATTCTTGGAGGGTACCCTTCTTGGAGTCTCTTCAAGGAAAAAGAATCAACAACTTGTTTGATGGGGGAGGGGTCCCCAACTTGAGAAGAGCTCACTGCGTTGCCTGAGTAGGATCAGTATTTGCACGATGGAGGATGACATGCATAGCTGGGTATGCCTTTGGCACTGTGCGAAACAGGTTGCGCAAGAAATCCACGAGCAATGCCAACCTGGGTTTGTGTTTAGTACCCTTTTCAGGGCAGGGTTCAAGGAACACAAAAGGAACAACAACCACAATCTTGGCTCCAAATCCATGTTTTGGACCTTCACATGGGGGAGTTGGCAACATTCGGGCCCCTTCAATAAGAAGCCCTCGCCAGTGGTTTCAATGTTTGAAGCCCTTGAGGCATATCCGGAACACCTACAGGTCCCAAGAGTGTTGGACCCGTTTCGGCGCCTGCCAAGGCGCCGCCTTTCAAGGAGAATACCAAAAAGGTCATGACAAATGGAATGATAGATGTCAACCCCTAAAAGCGGAGCTCTTTTCCATGGCAAGAAAAACCAGTCATTTTCCATATGCAAGAAACACATGATTTTTTCCTTTTGTACAATATGCCGTGAAAAACCAGCGGGTCTTCGGGGTCGGGTGTGTGGGGAGGGGTCAGGTACCGCCGCTGGCCCGCGCGCAGCCTTCGGAGCCGCGGCTGGAGGCGAGCCGAGTCGAGGGAAGAGTCGGCCTTCAAATCTGGCGACTTGGATCATTTGGAGCTGTTGGGAAGCCTGCTGAGCACCAGCAAGTGATGTTGGGAAAGATTTCTTCCTTCTAAACAATCCAACAAATTGAGCTTTTGGCACAGGGCGGCTGAGTTGTCCAGCCAAATAGGGGAAGCAGTTTGGGATTGTATTTGTTTTATGTTTCTCAAGGCAAGCCAACAAAGGATGGCATGATGTGTTCACCCGTTTGGAAGGGAAGCCTAAAACCGAAACCAGCCAGGGGTTGGTCAACCGCCGATTTTTGGTTGGAGGCCTTGTTTGGGATGGCAAGCCTTGCTGAAAAGAGGTCGCAAGGAGCTTTGGAGGTGGGCATATCTTTGACAACTGGTACAAAAGCCTTTAAGTGGTGTTTTACATATCCATCCAACCCATCCTGATTAAATTTTGGAATTAATCTGTCTTCTTCCTAATTTGTTGTTTTAAAGTTACTATAGGTGGGTCAGCAGGAAAAGGTCTAGGAAATGCTGCAGTGGATCTAGGAGTACATGATACATATGTTGTAGCACATGTTCATGTTCTTTTTTTTCCTTTAGGAGCTACAGTCACTCTCTGGAACCACCTCTTCTTTTGGACTGGGCCGGTTTAAGCTCTCCCTGCATCTTTTGCCGGCCGCGCATAAAACCGGCCGAGAGCTTCGTACGCCTGAAGCTCACGGGGATTTCGAAGCCTCTCGCGTAAGGGGAATCCGGCACGGCAAGCGTCCAGGATCTGCCTTCGCAAGCGCGATAGACATGACTCCATATGGTGTTGTATCGTTTCATGGGCTGCGCGTACCCCAAAATATACTTAGCTTCACATGTCAATGTGAGCTTCTCAAAGCAACTCAGCTTAATACAGAAAGTTAATTTGTGCGCACAGTGAGTGATGCTGGTACAAAGCTGTTCCACCTTACCACATCGACTCTCTTCCTGTGCTTCTCATGCTTCTCATGCTTCTCATTGGATTTGTCAAAATACTTTCGGCCCACCCCCCCCCCCCCCCCAAAAAAAAAAAAAAAAGAGGCACTGGCCCTCCTGGCTTGAGCAACGATGTTTTGGGTTTGGTAGAAACCTTACTGGCTTCGGTGAGGGAAGCTGACAAAGTGCTTTGCTGCAGGCCTTTAAGGCTTGCCTTCGGGTAAATATGGGTGTGAATTTATGCTGGGAGGTGTTTGGGACAAATTTGGTGGCAAATACATTTCCACCAACCGTTTGGGAGGGGTCTCCTTCCAAAAATATAGCCGTGTAGGAGTTTCTCAAAATGCTGAACCTCGGTATTTAAAGGGAACCCAAAAGGAAGCCACTCATTTTAAGGGGACCCTACTCAGGTTCGAAAGGGAAGGAAATCAAGGGTACTTTGTTAGTTCAATATTGGCTTTTTAAGGCTTGGTGGCTGCATTTGTCAGAACCCCTTGGTGGTTTGGGATTTGAATCCCACGCGCACACACACAACAAGCAACGCCCACCACAACACAACACTCCAATGACCCCTTGGTGGTGGATTGGATTGAACCGGTTTGGGATTTGAACCCCTGGTTCTTGTTGAGGGTAATTGGAATGGACACCATCCCTTAACCACCAAGGCTCCAATCCAAACCACCAATAGGGGAAGCTGATACTAGACTCTACGTGTGCCCATGATACACACACACACACACCCGCCCGCGGCACGTGCGGACAATTAGAAGGCCTTCGTAATGCAGGTGGAGCCTGGAGCCAACGTCCGCGAGAATGCGGTGCATGTGTATGGCCCGGTGCTCAGTCGTTTCGTTTCGTTTGAGGAAGGTGGTTCTTTTTTTGCCGGGTGTTCAGCCCTAGGGTAAATAAGAATATTCCAGATGTCTGGCTGAAAAGAGCTGAGAATACTTTCTCGCGAGCAATTCACACATGATGTACAGGGCTTACATGCCCAAAGAGGAGGATTGTGATGAGTTCAAAAAAACACCACTACGGAGTCAGGCAGTTGAAATTAAGATCACTGGAAGGAATTCCCACCCAAGCACTTGAAAATCAGCCGCGTGCAAGTGAACGTTTGTTCTGATCCATGAAGGAAACTCAACAGGACGCTGAGTCAGGTTCCATGTATATGTGCGTGCACACGGAGATACAAGCAGAAAAGGTGCATGACTGACTTGTGCTGCAAACCAACTTGGCGACAAACCACACCCAAGAGAGTTACCTACATCGGGGTACACAGGCTCAGTCATCACCCCTTTCATGAGCTTAATCTCGTGCCTTTCGTTCTTTGTCACCAGGCCCTTTGTCATGTAGGCCTGGACTTTCTGAAGACCAGCCACATGGAGGAGATCTTCAGCCAGTTCGGGCACAAGCGCCCTCTCCCAACCATGGGGTGGGTTTGGCGTGTGTCTGGCCGGGATATCTTTCGGTGTGTTGGAGGGGCCACGCTGGTTTTTTTGTGGGAACCCGTTGTCTTCACCTAAGACACATGTCTCCTTTATATATCCCTTTCTCCGGTTGCTTTTCGGGTGCCGAGTTTCCCTTTAAAGCATCGTATCAACACAGGATGCCCTTTAGTTTTTCATGGATTTTAAGTGGAGGTCTGGAGTTTTGAAGTTGCAGTCCTTTCATTGTCTACCGTGACACCTTGGGCGGCCTAGAGGTTGCTCGCTTACTTAGGTGACAGTCATTTCGATTGAGCATGACACGAGCCATAGACGCGTGGCTTCCCCAGACCTCCAGTGGTGCCCGTGTTGTCCTTCTTTGGGAGAGGGTTTCCTGTTAAAATCAACCACTCTTGGCGACTGGGGTCTGAGATGCAGGTACGTGGAGTGGATCAACGAGTCCAGCGCAAACATCATCTTCAAGAACGCAGAGGGGGCGAAGAAGGTGGGGTGAAGAGAGGGTTCTCTTGAGCCTTCTCTCGACCCCGGAGTCAAGTCAATCCTTGCAGAACAGAAGACTAGAGGCCGTTTCTCCCTCACAGGATCCCTTCTTAAATGCCTAGCCCACCCTTCAAGTCGACAAACAAAGAACCCGCACAAATGGGTTTCATGGCCACTGGGGTTCTGGGTACACGCGTCCGAGTTGACACAGGGCGTGGCCTCATGGAGGCAACCAACAGATATTGCGCGTTTCAACACGTGGCAGAATTCCAATGAGGTCCTGTTGTTTTCCATGATCCATGAGAGTTGTTCCCCACTGTGGTACAACCGTTCAGTTTCAGCCGTGGCCTTTTTGCAGTGCCATTGGGGAATCCGGGATACCGCCCTGTACTTTGGTTCTGATTCTGCAGACTGCAGAGTTACGGAACTCATCACTGGCTGAGTCGTTTTTTTTTTATACCCCGCGGCTGGGATCACTCGATCGATGGGAGCCGATCGGCTCGATGGATCCCGATTGAGGCGCTCGAGGCGCTGAGCTTTCCGAAGACGGAGGATGAGCCCTGGCGGAGGACCCCGGACATCCTGGTGGGCGAGGCGCGAGGAGCCGGCGTCAAGAGCTGGTTCCTTTTTTGGGTCGTTTTGGTCGGGGGGCAGGAGGGGGGGTTGTTTGGTCGCGGGCATGAGGGGTTTTGAGGGGTTGGAGTGGGTTTGGTCCAAAAAGGAAATCACCCAAAGGGGTTGGTCTTTTGGGCACCAGGTGGGTTTGGTCGACCCAAGGGGGGTTGGTGACCAACATCGGCGGCGTCGAAGTGCAATCTGCTTTGTGGATCAACGGATCAACTCGAAGAACCTTCCCTCGCACAAGGCTCCCTTCAGCCAGGCCAATTTTGAACAAGGATTTTGACGCTTGATGGATGAAGCTGCTTGGGCCCGCTTGGCTGGGAAGGCCAAACAAAGAGCCTTACTAACCGAACCATTCCCGCCCGCACACATCTTCAGTTTGTTTTGGAATGCTTGGAAAGGTTGTCCTTTCCAACAATCCAAGTGAGATGGGGCTAAAAGTTAAGTCGTCTTAGGTGATTTTCTCTTGGCAACTGCGGTAGATATTTCAGGCAAGGTAGCCCTTTGTCCTTCCCGCCCCGCCTGGCTTCTTGCAACTGGGTGTGGGTCAAAATTTAACAACCAGGGTATGGACCGCAGATTTTCGGGTCATGTTTCCAGTTCCCAGGGCAACCCATTTTGGGGTTACCCGATTTTGGACCACCACGGCCATATTTCCATTTACATAATATGACATGTTTGTTTTTTTGTAGAAACACCCCCTCGAATTTTTGACAACCACGGCCAACGCTTGCAACTCCTGCTGATCGCCAGGGCGTTCCGCCCATCTTCCTCCAGATGCGCCTTGCCACGGTGAAGGACCATAAGCAAGCCAAGCGCTCCGTGCCCAAGGCGCCTACGCGTTCGCGCTGTCGCCGCCGGGGCGGGACGGGATCAGAGAGAGAGAGAGAGATAAACATATATGTATATATGTAGATACATATATATATATATAAGTGAAAGATCGAAATTGCATTAAATAGCCCTTAAGCTTTGATCAATCTGTTGATTCACTGTAGATAAGTCCAGTAGGTGCGGATATCAAGAAGCCTGTCGGATCCAACTGTAAGCGCGGCCATTGATGCTTACATGCATGCATATTATATGTATACATAAATGTACGACATTTGGATAGATCACTTTCATACCGCGTTTACACTTTTAGTCCAGGGAGGCCCCAAAAAGAGTTCGGGATTGCATGGCAGGTTAGGGTTCCTGTGCCAGTTTGTCTTTACTTCCCTAGGATACCTTTTTGTCCCCAAAACGCTATTCAAACACGGATGATTCCTACGTGGTGTGTGCTGGTTTCACTGTTGGGGTGTAGTAAGACGGGGGTCTTCGGTAGTTGTCGGCCTTGTTTGTCGCTCACTGAAACGGAATATGTCCCAACACAGACGGGGAACACCCAGCCTAGAATTTAACCAGATCTTGGTTCTTGCGGCCTTCCTGTTGCATGACCTGCCAGCCAAATGATGTCCGAAGCGTGACACTGCAGTGCAGTGTGCGCTTTAGCGCTTCGCAAGCCATGACATATCGAGGCAGGCGCAATTTGCACTCTATGATTTGTGCAATTGATAGACCCCTGTAGCCTTTGTGACCGAATCCAGAGGCCCGAAGCCGGACCTTTTACTTTCACATACAGAGACCGAAGGATTGGAGACGCAGTGAGAGGGAGCAACGTGGCTTTTCATGGCTCAAGCGGATCGGATGTTCGGTATTCATGCGACTAAGCCCAGCTACCCAATTGTTACATGGGGGGACCCAGCTAACCCAGCTACCCCAGCTACCCAGGATCTAACATGGGCAATTAATGATGTCACACTGTTGCCCACTTGCATCCGAGTATGTTCTGCAACCTGCTTCACAAAAAGAGCCCGCGACTGACACAACCAAGTGCTGGAGTTCAAGCACTGAGGCGTTCAGCACTGAAACACCCAAGGAGTTGTTTTGCCCAAAATTAGTGTGGCAAAGCAAGGGAGGAGGATGCGAGGACATGTTGCTCCGTATTAGCCGCCCTGTTCAGCCGTTCGCCACAGTCGTGAATGCACATGGATTGTGAACTGCCCTACAGAGCCGCGCAACTTATCACTTGCATGGCGCCATGCGAGCGATTCAAAGCAACCCCAGCAATGAACGCACGACCGAAGCGCGCACTCCTGTTCCAGCCTCGAATGACGGCCTTGGTATTGGGGGTTCTCAAATAGGGGACCACAGAACATGGCGCAGATGTATTGCTTGACTTCTGGAGAAAGGCTACGCTGTTTGACTCTCCAGGAGAGTCTATGACAATCCGATCATTCTCAGGAGTGACCACGAAATGGAGAATGAGACGCATAGAGACATATTTGAAAGATGTGTTCCCTTGCCTGAAAGCACTTTTGGTATCTTTTTGGACAAGACGTATGTCAGATTGTCGCCTGAGCACACGCGTCAGTCTGTGTGTGTGTGTGGTAAAGTGATTTCGTCCAGTAAAATCCAAGTGGACTTCTTTTGCGCAGGCGATGTCCCCGATGCACTACGCCCAGGATCGGAATGGGGGGAAGATTGGATGCCAGATTGTTTTGTTGTGTTTTTTGGTTCTGAATGGGAACTCCTTCCTTTTTTTTTATAGGGGACACCAAGAAGGGCAACGAGTTTTGACAACCCCTTTGCGGGCAAATGGGACACCCTAGCCTCCAAACCGCCAATTCAGCACACCAAGAAGCTGAGAAGCCCGGTGCAGGCGCTTTGCATGTAGGCACATGCCTGTCACAGCCGAAGGACATTTGTTCACGTGTGGGCCCTGCAATTTGTTTCGCAGAAAGACAAGCGCAGGAGGGTCGTTCCAACTGAGCCAAAACTAGATCCAGCAAACATGACTTGGTCTGGCAATTTCACACTTAAGCTGTTTATAACTCGGGCAGAAGACTCCTCAGGGTTAGCCAAGGTTGTTGACATGGTCGGCCAGAGCAGATCCTGTCAGTTTCAGTCAGTTTGTCCGCTTTTGGCTTCGGAATCCTTGGATTCGTCGCTTTTCTGGCTTTCCTTTTCCAAACTCAGTTGTTCAAAAGCGAGCTTTTTTCACCTTTTGGTTTGCCCGCCAACTTTTTAGCCGACGTCCCAAAGGGTCATCCTTTTACCGAAATATACGCCCCAAGTGGTGTTGCCCGCTTCGAGGGCTTGACTCGTCAGGTGTTCTACAAGAACCAAGCCCAGGGTGCGCGAGGCAGGTTGCGCACGGCTACGGTTGCACGGACTAGAAAAAGGTCTTTAAGGTGCGACCGCGACGGCCCCAGAAGGAGCTTTTGGTTTCACCAATGGCGTTTCCATTAAACAACAGGTTCCATGAAGGCCCCAAGAGGACTTTTTGGAGCAATTGGCTTTTCCACTCAGCAACAGCTTGGGGACCTTGTGCCCAGAAGTGCAACCCACCCTGCAATTTCCGTGCCCCAAGCTGCGCGGAGCTGGGAGCGGTTTGCGGATTTCAGCAAAGCGATCAGCTGAGTTGGGCCAAGTGCTCTTCAATGTTTCTGTCTATTAGTTTGGTTTACGGCGAGAGTACCGGTCCAGGGTAAAACGAGGTTCCCATGATGTGCGGACTTCCTTAGGGATCCCTGATTGCAGGTTTTGTAATTATTGCAACATGTGCACTTTTTGCGGTCCTGACCAAGGGGCCAGGCAACTTAGATGAATCTTTCAGTCCAGTTTGTTGAGGATGTCGTTCACCCTTCTCAGATTCGGGCGTGGCAAGCACCTATTTCTGCTGTGATGAGCTAAGGTGCCAAGAATGAACTCTGGGAAGCCAGTCATTGTCCACCGTTTGGGCGATCCCTGGACAGAAATTCGCTAACGACAGTTCCCCTTTGGGCCTCACTTCGCCTGGTGTTCTTTGTTATAGGTGTGACCAAAACGAATCGCTGCATGTCTCAGGCCGGCCAAGGCTGCGGCCTCGTCCAAAGAGCGCTGGGAGTCAAGGGCAGCCGATTGGGGGTAGAGGCATTGCCCAGTTGAGAGCCGATCGCTAAGTTTCTTAATGCACTGTTATGACATTGTTCACCAGTACGTGGATAAGGCCTCTCCGGTTAGAGTCTTTGGCGCTGGAAATTGGTTGCCATTCTTGTGGCCATGGATTTTGCCTTGGTCTGGCGGCACCTCAGCTTTGGCGCACAGATCAAACGTGATGCTGCCAAAAGACGAGCGGCGAATCATGTACTCTTAGAGCATCCAAATACTGTGGGCATATATAGCGGTGTTGTTATTTCAACAGACACTGGGTACGTAGGGCTTGAACTGATCATCAAACCTTTGTGGATGTTGGAGAACCAGATCATACGAATCCCTCATCATGGCACCAACCTCGCTTTTTGCAAAGGTCCAAAGTAACAGCAACGCCTGGCTATGATGCTTGGTCAATCATGTTTCTGGTCTCATCGTATCTATTTCACTTGAATGGACCATGGTCGTGCGGCCTGCCGGCCCCTTCCCCGGATTGACATCAAAGTCATTCCCGTCTGCAAGCGCCTTGGAGCCTCTTGCAATAGATCCGAGCAAGAGTCAGACCCTCACCGCCAACATGTCGTTCCAAACTCAGCACTTGGCCGGTCCTTGGCGTGGCCGAATCGCCCCAAAAGGCCCTTTTGGTTTCATAACTGGCTTTTCCGTTCCCACAGAAGGTGAGATCGACCTTTCAGCCTCGTTCGCGGGGCAAAGGGCGCAACGAGCCAAGCGTGCGCGAAGTCTGAGGCCGAACTCTGCCAAGGCCAAGCCCAAGGCAGGTCCCGAGTATACCTGGCGAATGGACCGGATCCCGGGTTTCCCTCTGGTCCTGTATTTCTGGGTCCTGGCAAGCGAGATGCTTGCTTGCTTGGATACTCATGAGCCGCTGAGCCGACTCGCAAGAGCCATTGCAACCTAAGGACTCTTGATGCTTTTTGGGCCCATGGACCATGAAGGACCAATAGAAACGATCTTGGTAGCAAAGTTGAGTGTGTTCCAGTCCAGGGTGACTTGCTTTTCTTTCCTAAGGATGGCAGTGTGATCCAGGGGTGTATTGCAATGCTTCCCAACTGCCGCAATGTCCTTATGGGGTTGATGCACCAGAAATTTGATCAGCTACTGGATTTGTTGGCTTTATGTCACGGATTGTGTTGGCTGTATGTGCATGATGTATGTTGTTGTTTGCTGACGAACTGATCAACTGCCTGTGTTTGTGTTGCGGCCATTCTTTTCAAGAAGAGTGATGCTTGTGCTGGATAGCGAAAGATGGGAGGCAAAATCCAGAGGGCACTGAACCCTTTGTTTTGGATTCAGACCGCATGGCACGTGTCTATGGTCCATTTGGGTTTTGGGACCTGGGGGACGAGCTCCAAAAAACCCTCAAGCACCATGTGATGCTAGATTTCCAATGTTTTGGGGAAACAAGTCATTTTGCCTGTGGCTCACGTGAACACGTGTGAACCTTGAATATGAACAGGTACCTTTGCAGGCAACGAGAGTGGTGGGAACCCCACCCCGAAACGGGCCTTTCTCATTGTTCTGGAATGTATGCGGAGGGCCATCTTGATGTGTTTCGATCCTGAGAGCAATGGAGAGAGAGTCCCTCTTCTTGAATCGAAAGGAAGCTACAAATCGGCAACCACCTTTTGCGCACATGCAATTAGGCCATGCACCATCTATCGCTGTATCCTTCAGGATTCTCTCCACATGGGTGTGGCTCAAAATTAAACAGGAGGGGTTACGCAGGTTTTGGTCCATGTTTCCACTTACCAGGGTTCCAGTTTGGGACAGTGGTTTTGAGCCCCAGCCACATGGACCAAAGGCTTTGCCCCCCAAAGCATGGATGTTGCGGCAGGGCCAGCACCAGTACAGAACGTCAAGGTATTTCATGAGGCTTGAAGTTGAAATCTGGGTTGAGTTATCCTTGATTTGTTCGAGCAGCTGTTCCATCTTCACCCTTGACAGACAGCCCTTTGATTAAAGTAATCAAGTTAGTTCTTGTAGGTGGTTTGGGGCTTTGTTCTCATGAGGGAAGACTAGGGAACCACATTGCCAGACCGTTGCCAGGCTGGCACCAAGAGGCTTCAGGCGCGACGGCTTGTGTTTATTAAGAGTATCCTTGTTGGGGCTTGCTTGAAGCCAAAAGGAACCCATTTTGTGGGGGTCCCTTATAGTGTGACACATACCACTTTGAAGGACGGACATCGCAGTGGGAGTGGCATCGCAGGTTCTTCTTTTTTTCAAGCAGTCCAAGCCGAAGTCGATAGCATCGCAGTGGGAATAGCGCCCAAGCCGAAGTCGATGTCCAGCTGTCCAGCTGCCTCTCCTCAGATTTGACTTGCGCCTCGTGTGCCCTTGCAGAGGGTTCCTGTCGGTTTTCAATGTCAATCACAAAGGCGGCAGAAGGTAGATCCCTGACTAGCAACTTGGCTGGGTGAGCGGATGCATGTGGTTGACAAGAGGATGTGGAGCCTGGTCTGCAAACCACACCCCATCTGAGAAGCTATGTCAACAAGGGATAGGGGTCCCCACTTGGCATTCAGAAGCCCCTGATGACGGGGGGTGTCCCAAGCGGTTCCTTCACTGGGGGGGGGGGCACCCCTATCTCAGGTTGATTCGTCCGTGTCGAGGTTCAAGCAAGTGGATTCGGATTGCTTGTCCAAAGGACTGTCTGATGTGTATATCCAATTTCGGAACCCATGTATTCATGTTAAGGCGAGCTCCCAGGGTGTTTCGTGAGCTCGCGATGTTGGTCCTTCGCTTGGGGGCTTCCGAGTTCGGGTTTGGAATTGGAGAGTTAGCAGATCAACCTCTGCGTGCAACCCGTAGAAGGGATTCCTCATTGTCTAAACGGGCAGATCAGCCTCCTTTTTTGGAGCCCAAAATGGGCCGCCCGTCACTCCTTCGGCGCAGGTGACGCCGGAGGAGTCCCAGAAGCGCCAGAAGCGCGCGGGGGTGGGATCTGGGGGCTCCAGGGAAGCCAGGAAGCCCTTGTTTGTGCATTTGCCAACCCCTAGGCCCCAGCTTGTTCCTTTTCTCTCTGAATGGAAGCTGACAAGAGGGTCTTGGAAGACGACTTCCTTTTGGGGAAGGGCCCCCGGAACCCACTTCCATGATTGGAAAGAGGGTAAGCATGGGTTCATGAAACTCTTGGATTGCCTCCCTGAACAGGGCGCAGCCCAGAGGCAAATTGGTATGTGTCAACATAGGCGGACCCCAAACACTGGATTTCCTTTGGTTTCCCTTCAAAACTGAAAAGGGCCCACATAAAAAGGATTGGTCGATTTGTTTAGAGAAACACTGGCTTTGCCCTTTTGAAACAAAGTGCAAAAGCGGCAGGTTTCGTCGCGCGGTAGCCGGAGAGTCAAGATTCAAGAGCCGAACTTGATGGGAGCCAACCGACGCACGGACATGGACCCAGAAGCCGAAACAAGCTGCAGCATGCGCCCACACAGGCGCCAGCATGTAAAACAGTACTGGGTGCTGCGTTCATGGCCAAACTAACGCAACCAGACCCCTCTCAGATGCCCGTCCACTTGGCAGGGGTTAGCAGATATATGGATGTTATCAAAATCAGGGGACCCCCAAAATGCGCGGCTTCCCTTGATTTTCCTTTCCTCAACCCAAAAGCAGCTGAGCACTACCCTCAAGTAAAAACAACACCTTACAACGTGCCTGTGAGTAAGTCGAAAAGATTGCCTTTTGAAAGCCTCAGCTGACCTCTCGCAAACCGCAAGGCGAGGCGAGCGCTTCGGGGATGACGAGGAAGCGGCTCGGCGCGAAGAATTGAGCGACCAAACAAGCCGTGCATCTACGGAAATTAGAACGAACTAGCCGATGGGCAAAACGAGCTCATCCCCAGCATGAAGGTTCCTTACGTGGATTCTTTATTTCGAGGTATTTCGAGTTTGTGGATTAGAGTAAATTGCCCAGACGCGTTCACCTTTGGGCTATTGCAGGCCCATGGTCAGTAACACGTTCGGGTAACCTAAGTATAGAAAGCCTGCGCCTTCAGGTTGCTCATGGATCCAGTCCTTCGTTTGTTTTATGTGTTATGTTTCCCTGGAAATATGTTGTTTTACAGGCCAATTATTCGCAAATGGAGGAATCTGGCAGACCAACGAGACACCAGCACACCTTGTTGCATGCTCAACCAACTTAGTACGGAGGTTACAACTCAGGTGTATCGGTGGTTTGGATTGGTGGTTTGGGGATTTAAACCCTTGGTTCTTATAGATTCTATATTTGGGAAATCACACCCAAACCATTTCAAACCACGAATCAGGGGGCCATGGTCATAGCTTGGTTATAAGGGGTTAGTGCCCTCATCGGTATGGCTCTAACCTTGCTAGGTGGCTTGAATATCCAAGATTGGGGGCCAGTTTCGGATGTTTGAACACAGCACCTCACGGGACCAACCGGCGCTCCCACTTTGGATCACGCAAACATCAAGGGCACGCGTCGTTCGACGTGTTGCAAAGTGGGTTCCATAATTGCAGCACCAAAGGGAACGCACCACACGACCATTATCCTTGACTTCTGCAGAAACCAAACACAGAATACCCCCATGTTCTAGATGGAATTAGGATATATCTGATTAAAAGTTTAACCAGTGTGATCACTCAACATTTGCCAGAAAAAGGCAGATGATGCACCGAGAACCATTTCCAAATTTAACTCATGGGTACTTTAAGCAGCGCACCAAAAGTGTCCCACAAACTGTCCCACGTTTGTCACCGGCCCTTTCGTGGAGGACCATTTCACAGGTTCCTTTTCATGGGACGAGCAGCATACCCCACATATCGTGGCTGGGGTAAGGAATTTGGAGCTGCAGCATGAAACAGCAGACCATTCAATCAGGGCTTGACGCAACATCCACTGGATCATACTGAGGATGGACAAAATTCACTTCGCACATTTTGGTTGACGGCTTATGCCAGTATTCATAGCTCAGTTGTTCAGCGGTACCCTTATTCCCTTTTTTTGGTGGCTGCCCCACTAAAAATGGTCTTCCCCAAAAAGGGGAACCCCCTTTTTTCCAGGGTCAACAACTGAGATAGGGTTTCATCCATCCCAGCAGGTGCCTGGCGCCATGCTACCTAGTGGCACCTTACAAGACAAACAGGCCATGCTCGTCCTTTCTATGTCCTGGAGCGTGGTTTCCTGCAGCGCGCTCTGGAACCAGCCTTTTCCCGGATCGACGGGGGGTGATGTTTGTTGTGGTCGCTCTCATGCAGGAGCACACTTCGACAAACTAGGGAAGAATGTCCTGACGTCTGTGTGGGAAGCGCATCCATACCTGGCTCTTCCAACATGTGCAAAAAATGGTTTCGTCGAGAACAATGTTTTTCGACCAACCGGCTATTTTGTTTTGCCTGCCGGCAGTTTTCAGTGTTTGCACACTCTGGTATCAATCAAAATTGCAGAATGGCGTAATTTGCCGCCGAACTGGCGTAATTTGCCACCGAACTGGCGTACTTGGCCGGCGAAACGGCGTTGATTTCTGGTCACGAGCTGGACTCCCTCCGAGCGTTTTTATCTCTCAAGGTGCGTTTGTTTTCACCAACCGGCGAAAACTATTGCTGTTTCGGGAAGCGGCTGTATTTTTTTTACACGGCCGGAAGGTTCAGGTATTGATTATCACATTGCAGCCGCTGGGGCGGTACCACTTTTTCACCCGCAGACGAAGACGAATTGCGAAGACGAATTCCCGAAAACGAATTCCAACCCGAAGACGAATTGCGAAGACGAATTCCCGAAGCCGAATTCCGTCCCGAAGCCGAATTTCCCCCCGAAGGCGAATTGCGAAGACGAATTCCCCAAGACGAATTCCAACCCGAAGACGAATTGCGAAGACGAATTCGCCGGAGCCAAGCTCCCTCCCGAAGCCGAATTCCTCCCGAAGACGAATTGCGAAGGCAATTTCCCGAAGACGAATGCCCCCCCGAAGACGAATTGCGAAGACGAATTCTCCGAAGCCGAATTCTCCCCCGAAGCCGAATTCACCCCCGAAGACGAATTGCGAAGACGAATTCGCCGAAGCCGAATTCTCCCCCGAAGCCGAATTCCCTCCCGAAGACGAATTGCGAAGACGATTCGCCGGAGCCAAGTTCCCTCAAGAACACGGGTTCCCCTAATGAATGCCGTTGAGCAAGCATGCTGACAGCGAGCGTTTGTGGTAATTTCGTTCCCTTACCATAGACGGCGCCCTACATAGTAGATGCTTTTGTCAAAGCCCAATCCTTCACTAGAATAGTTCATGCAATTTGAAACCAGTATTGATCTATCGATGGTCTTCTTCTAGGAGGCCCGCTGCCCTCAGCCAGTCAGCGTTTGTTAGAAAAGAAGACCCTTCCTTGAAAACAGTTTTTGTTAGACCTCTCGGCTTTGACCCTGTCCCCGTCAGAAGTGCAAAAAAACACACAACACTGAACACCCAGCGCCTGGAACCGGGGACCCCTAATAATATAAGACGTTATAATTGCGCAGTTGGCATGTTTGGGTTGTTTTCTGATGAGGGGAAGGGATTAGTATAGCAGGGGGTCGCGCAGATGATGCCTTCTCCTCTTTCGAGGGTTTTTTTTCGTCCCCCTAAGAATAGAGGGCCCCCTAGATAGTAGATGTTTTTGTTTGCTAAGAATCTCCGAGCCGCAGGCTAAAACATCCTAAGGGCAGGTTCTGAGGGTCACCCTATTACTTCCCCTTGCTTAAGGTCCAACATTCGGAAATGATAGTTCCAGCGGTTCCACAGGTATGCTTGCAGTGCCGGCGATTGCAGACTCTCCGGACACCCAACAAAGTGCAAGTTCTGATATTAGCCATGACCTATCACATTCATCCTGGAAGGAAGTTGGTCATGCCGTGTGGTCCAAAGACGGAGAAAAGAAGAGATCGTCATCAGCTTCATTATCGACACCGAGAAGGAGCGTTAAGGGCGTCATGAGTCCTGTGAGAAAGGAAGAAGGGCGGTCCAAATCGCCTACAGGCTCTAGTCCGTCTAAGATCACTCAGGAGAACAAGACCCTCAAACAGGAAGTGGAGGAGGCTAAGCGCAATTTGGCTATGCTACAGGAGTCATATGAACGTGACGACCAGGGCAATGTCACGCGCATCCAGGAACTGGAACGGAGAGCCGGTGTGTCGGAACAACAAGTAGCCCATATCCTCAAAAGATCCGACGAACAACTTCGAGAAGCTGCTCAACACATTGACATTCAACGTGGGAAGACAAAGCTATCCGAAGATCAGGCACAACACCTCGTGAAGATCTGCGGAGAGTATCAAGACGAAGCCCGACTTAAAGTCCTCGAGTACAAGAAGCGACATCAGGAGATGGCCGCGACCGTGAATCTGCTTGAACATCGAATCAGGTGCGAGGAAGAAAGCTCATTGGTCAGCAAGAGTAAGGCTGAACAAGAAAGAAGGAGCACTTCTTCCGAGATCGCTCAGTATCAATCAATGATCAACTCCTACCAGGTGAAGATCACTACGGACTCGCAGAACGAGGAGAACACCATTCGTGGTTTGCGTGAGAGACTGGAGACAGCGTTGTTGCCGCAACCGAAAATGGCGATCGATGACGAGCCACAAAACATATTGGTGAGCAAAGCAAATGATGCTATCAGGTACGCTGAACAAGAAGCCCATTGCGCACGGGTTGCCGTGAGCGAACGGGATGAGATGTATTTGTTTGGACAACGTGCAGTACAGGAACGCGACGCGAAGATGAATGAGGAGATCAAGATCGCTAGAGATCGAGCTCATCAAGGAAAGCATTACACGATCGCGCCACGCTGGGGGATCAGGAGTTTGTCGACGTGACTTGCGAACTCGCAGCATCAAGACAAAAGGCTATTGATGCGAAATCCGATTGCCTCAGCCAGATCGCTGCAATGTCCGAAGAAATCGAAGAGACACGACAAGAACTCAAGATCCAAGAGAGCTTTGTGTACCAGTTGGCAGAGACGAACAAGGAACTCGAGAGCGAGAATGCCACCCAAATGGCCATCGCGGCGGATGCAAAAGATCGTGGACGAGCTCTACTGAGGGATGACTCCGTTAGGACCGGTAAACGCCACAATTCGAAGATGCGTAAGAGTGATACCACAAATTGGCCTCGGCAACAACAAGGTCAGGTAATGCTCTATCAGACTACAATGGCGGCATCTAGTTCTAGTGTACAGGCACCCAATGTTCTTAAGCCAATTGATTACAGCCTTGGACTGGGTTCTGTTTTGTTTCCTGTTAACCAAGACCCAATGATACAGGCTCATATCGACCAACTCCATGAGGCGGTAGGATCTATTCCAAACAAGAGATTTGGTTCAACCGGCAATAATGGAGGTGGTGGTGGTCATGGAGATGGCGCCATGGCCGAAGATCACGAAGCTGGACAGCTGGAAGATGGCACTCACCATGAACGTCACCAGTTCTTCAGCAGACCCTGATACCGAAGAATGGGCAATATTGCGGAATGCAATTGATGTTGATGAGGAAGGAAAGATTCAACCAAAGAAGAAGGATGGCACCAGTAGCTCGAAGGACGCCGCACCTGCAGAAAGTACAAAGGTCAACGCTCCGAGCGCTAAGAGAATCAAAGCGACGCTCAAAGAAAGATGGGTGGTGATCAGTGGTTGTACGACTGGAGCATACGGAAGAACACAAATACGGTCAAGAACCCTGTTGAGGGAAAGTTCTTGGCGGACCTGGCTTGGACGAGGATCATTGTCAACCCGGTCGATGGGTCAGTCTTGTGCATGGACTCCAAACGTCTTCAAGATCTTGGTGCAACCAATGTGAAATTGGACGAGGTCTATGGAATCCTGGTGGTTATCTACGCATGGAAGTTTACTCCAAGGGAAGGTCTCGCATCTATCCCAAAGAACGACCGTGATCCCTGTCGCTTAGAGCTTCCGGACACAGGAAATCTTGTTTTGGGACCTTGTAGGTTCATGTGACCGCCAGATGTCGACCGCAAAGAATCGGCGCACCCAGAAAAGTCAGCATCAGCATAAACTGCCAAACACATATCTTCGACTGAATCTCCGACCCAGCCAATCATCCTCCAATGCTTGGTGCGATGAATGTAACACATCAAGTGATGAAGTTTGTTATCATCGTCGGTTGTCAGACGGTTGACCTGCCTGAGTAAGTCAAAACGTGCAATTCTAGCACCATACAATATTTTCACGAGCACACTTGCCGCATGAGGTGCGAGTTGTCTCCGGATGAGCTCCTTCCGAAGTCCCTCCTGCTTGGCATGATGGAGTTTCATAACCATTCGCGGGAACTCTGTTTCCAAAGTGGGGGAACGTTTGCCAAGACCGACCAATGCTGGAAGCCACGTTCCTGAAGTTTGTCAGGGAGAACATGACTTCTGACATGACGGGCCTCAACAGGAAGAGAAGCGGCGCAGTCAAGTACATGGAAGTTCCCAGCAGGACCGTCAGGGACATCATGGACAGGCTGGAGTACTCGAACCCGTTCATCGACATCGAGGACGCCGGTTCATCAGGCCTAAACAAGAAAGCGGGCGAGTCCGATGAGGACGACGCTGATCGTGGTCGTGAACCCGATGATGCCGAGGAGCCCGAAGCCAAACAATCGAGAGTCGAGAACATCGCCTCAAGACGAGCAGAATTGTTGCGGATGTTTGAGGATCTTTGCGATCGAGCTGGCGAACTGCAGATTTGCATGAAGCGCGGGAAAGAAAACATTGCAAGAGCAATTGAGTCTGACTTGGCACGTGGCAAGATCACAATGCCGTTTCTTCCAGAAGGGCATCCCTCATCCGATGAAGACATCGAAATGCATGATGATGATGAAGAAATGGCTCTGATGTCCAGCGAACCTGACAAACCGCATCAACCGGAAGCGGAGGCGCCGATCTTCTATCCGAGGGAGGAGTTCCACAAGTACAACTACGTCGTGAACCTAGATGGCTGATTTGGCAGAAGGAGGAGAACTCCATGTTGGTCAACTTGACCTACGCACGAATTCGAACGGAACCATGAAGGAGTACAACCGCATGCTCGATTCGTTTGGTGGAGCAAGCCCCTCTTTGATTCCTCAACCCGGTGATGGGGCAGTTTGCGAAGGTGTACAAGGGTATTCATGTATGACCAGCACGCTGCCAATGGGATTACACTTAGAAGTCATGAACACGCAGAGCAGAGACACAAGTTTCGTACAACGAGTACACAGCGTTTGGATCTAACTTGTTCCATACGTCGAAAGCACTGGTGAAGATCCTACGACATCAAATTGGCCAAAAGTGGGGGAACCCTATTCCTTGCAATGGTGGAGGATGGGTGAACATCGACCACATCCTGAGTCGCGAGAGCGCGTTCCCGCAGGATCGGTACAAGAAGAGCGACAAATTTCAAATGGTCGCCGAGTGCATCAGATCGGAGGATCGGAAAGCACGAAAGCCGAGACTGCAGATCCTTGCTGCGAAGTTTGATCAGGAGATCGACATGGAGACGATCGGGTCTCATAGCTGCTGGATGGGCGAAGAACGACATTGACTGGATTCGTCGCGAGCATGGCGGATGGTGGCAACCATGGTGCATTCGAGCGTCATCAGGGCATTCGGATTTCGGATTCGCTCGTCCTGCTCAACCTTGCAAAACATCTTGTTCCCGAACATGTCCGATCGCTTGGGCGGAGCATTTCACGCGACAAAGCCATCAGCCCTGGAAGGTATCATTTTGAGAGGTATCGTTCCTGGCGGCAATGACAGCGCGCGAAGGCTGGCAGTACACTTCGGAGTATTTGCACCTTGGGACAGCAAAAACATCTCGACCAAGACTGCAATGCACGACGTCAAAGAGGGAGATGACCTCATCGCCATCTACGTGCAATCAAAGAGGGAGAGACCATTCCCTTCAAAGAGATAAGGGCAATCTGGAGCTTCAAGTCCACGAAGAAAGGGCCTGTGAAAGAGGTTAGGCGGATCTACTCCCGCGCCGTCGAGAGCGAGATCTGTCCAGGAGTTAAGGACGCTGTGGGCGTGACCCCGGCGGACTTTCTTGGAAACCTCAACAGTTTCCTGGACGATGAAGACTCAGCGGACGCCGACATCCTGAAGAAGATGGTCGTCGATGCTTGCGTCAACATCGGAGTGCCCGAAGCCTTGGGCAAATCGTTGGTAGAGATCAGGGATTTGCTCAGCAGATTCATCGTCTACCGCGAGGACGACCCATCAAGCATTTCCAACTGAGTACGCCCAGCGTGCGCTATCATTATTCAAATGGGATTTTGCTACTGCACGGCATGCGAATGTGAGTTCATTTCCACCGGCAAGTTCGTGATCCATGTGGATGACGACGAGCCAAAACCATCCGACACCACCAATGTGACGGAGGAAGTGAAACAAGCTCAGCGAGAAGCAAAGGAAGATGCTGAGCGATTCGTCGCCGAGGAAGAACGACCCGACACCCAGGAGATGAGTGAGGAACGGTCTGAAGGCAGATCGTACATCCCGTCGGATATCGGGACGGACATCGACGATGAAGACCCGGGAGTTTGTCCGGACAACCCAGAGGAGGATGCGGACGCAATTCATCTCCTGCAAGTCAAGGCCATCTGCGTTGACGAAGCCGGCAAGGCATCATACCTCTCTGGATTCATTGGTGTCGTACTTTTCAAAGTATGGAAGGTGTTCGCCAACAACGAGGCAGATGTGGTCAAGGAGCCTGGCAAAGAAGGCGGACTATACTGTCCCTACATCTCGATCAACGGGAGGGACGATTGGATTTTCAAAGATGTTGATGAACAGAATATTCCAATCCCGCCAACCTATGAAGAGGTCACTGCCGCTCCTAAGTTCAAGAATGTGAGGTTCAAAAGCGCAAACCACAGGGGCGAAGAAATGTTCTTTTGGTTCCTGAAGCTGAGAGGGCTATACATCATGTACCGGATTTGGACCGCCTGCAATATACTTGGTATTAAAGCAGAGCAGTTCAGAGGTGTCAGCCATCAGAAGGACATTGCCCTCGTCAGCGACACAATACTCCGTTGCATCGCCCTCGGCCTCAACTGCGATTACATGACCTTCTACCGAACAGATGTGAACATTGGACGCAAGTTCTTGAAACTTGAGCTTGGCGCCATCATTTGCGGCAAAGAGGTCGACACTCCTCTTATCCAATGGTGCTATTCGAATCACGCAATATACATCTGCCCCCGCGCTTTATCGAGAAGATCAATCGGACCGAGGAGACACTAGATTCTCTGTTAGAAAGGTTCCGGTGGAGGGCGAGTAGAAAGGCCATCGCAGAAGCATCACACTGGTGATCAAGCATTTTCTTCACGATTTCTTCTACGTGGGGGACCAACTGCAATTTGCAGTTATATACAAAGCGGGATCGTGATACTCATCGTGAATGATATCATGGCCAGCCGTGGTGGTACTCGTCGTGCACGGTACACTGGGCAAGCCAAAAGTATTTGCATGAGACTTGCACTTATCACCACAAAATGTTTTCTTGTTTCCGTACAGTATCGTCATCGGCGACTACTATTCTGGAGATGCGCGTGTGAAGCAGTTGACGCAAATCAGCAACAGTACAGTCTACAAGAGGTCTCGTGAATTTCCCGTACGGGGTGCGTCACTGAGGGTCGCCGGACAGCTGCCCGGGCGCGACACAGATGGACTGTCTACTACGGCGCCCTTCCTGGAGCAGGATTTGCCTTCGAGCGACGACGATAGCTGGATCTTCGACCAGCGATGATAGCTTGATCTTTCGACCGCGCTTCAAAGCAAGCTGCGCCTGACACATTGCACGCATCAGCTGTGAAAAACGCTCATCATTCGGATAGAGATTGGGAAGGTAATGGGCGCTTCTTCTATTGAGATCGCTTGCGAAAGATGTAGCCTCAGGGCAAGGGTTCAAGTTCCTTGTAGATACAAAAGTCTTGGAAACCAGCATGGCGGTCCGGTCCACAGGGGCGGGATGTGGCGTCAGAATGCGGCGTCAGCAGGGAATGCGGCGTCAGCCAGGAATGTGGCGTCAGGGAATGTGGCGTCGGAATGCGGCGTCAGCCGGGAATGCGGCGTCAGGGAGGAATGTGGCGTCAGGGAATGTGGCGTCGGAATGCGGCGTCAGCCAAGAATGCGGCGTCAGGGAGGAATGTGGCGTCAGCGGAATGCGGCGTCAGCCGAAAATCTTGCGCCAGAGAATGTGGCGTCGGAATGCGGCGTCAGCCGGGAATGCGGCGTCAGGGAGGAATGTGGCGTCAGGGAATGTGGCGTCAGAATGCGGCGTCAGCCGGGAATGCGGCTTCAGGGGAAAATGTGGCGTCAGGGAATGCGGCGTCACAGGTTTTTGGAATGCAGCGTCAGAATGCGAATTCAGCGTCAGGTGGAAAAGCACTGTCCCTTTTGCGGCCGCCCTGGATTATCAGATGTGTATTGAATTACGATATGGGCATGTGTCAAAATAGGGGGACACCAACAGTTATGTCTTTCTTTTGAGGTGCCTTTAAACCACCCTAAGAATCATTGAACCCTCCATTGAGCAGGAGGTCCTTCCGTTGAAACGTTGAAAGATTTAAGTCCTTGTTGACAGCCCAAGATGGTTGGGGTAACCTTTGAACGGTACCCTCCCCCACCCATCCACACGCGCACACACACACAGACACACATGCACCTAACCCATGCAGCACTTGCATCGCACTCCGCGCCTCATCCCAGGTCATCGTGGTGGGCGAGGCCAAGAAAGGCGCTTTCTCGCCGCAATGACGCGCGGGCGGACGAGCATTCGGAGACTTCTGGGTCCCTAGTGAACAGTTAATGTTTGACTCACCCCCTGAGTTCATGGACGTTGAATACTTTTTGGAAAGACCATTCTATTGATATACACACAAAGTCTGGATTTGTTCTGCCCAATTTAGTCAGGAAGTGAGTTGAGGGGGATCCTCAGAGTTGCTTTTGGTTGGGGGACTTTCAAGCCACCATGAGGCTCTGTCATTTTGAGGATGGCACTTAAAACCCAGTTCGTTTGGGCAACTCGTAGAGTCGATGTCCATAACTTTACCACCGCAAGTCAGGCGATTCCAGAGCCTTGATTCATGCTGCCATTGACTTTGTTGCGCCCTCCGGCACAACAGACCAACTTGGCTGGGAGAAAATGGCTGTGAGACCATTTGAACTGTGAGTGGACAGTGCAATTAAGGCAGTTGGTCATAGACCCCCCAAAATTGACACGTTGCGCCAGATTGGAATCGCTTCCCCAAAATGCCAAGGGGTTCCTTTTGGTTTGAATACCAACCAACACGGGGTACACCATTTTGACAAGTATTATGTGCTTCACGTTGTTGTTTTTTTGCATGGGTTCATTTGATTCTTTGTTGACTAGACGCGAATTCAACGGCCCACATCGACCACATGGAGACGTCAGTTGCATCCATATATTTGTTGGGGGGGGGGTTGGCCGATTTGTTGCGTTCGGGAGAGCTACCTTGCCTTGCAAAGTCTGGATGAGATCACCTGCCCCATCCTGCCACATATTTCTCAGATTGGACCCTTTTTTTTCCGATTCGGGAACGAGCAGGAATACACCCCCTTCATCCTACGTTGTTTCGATTTAGGGCCCCCTAAATCATCGGTTTTTTTGGTTGGCGCCTGGAGTTGAGGGCCAACCATCAAGGGCAATCATTTGGGTAGGTGTCAACATACGTTGGTGCCCCCACAGCAAAAGAAACATGAATTGTGTCCTTTTGGTTGTCTTTGAAACCAGCATATTTACATGGCCCCTGAGGAAAATAGCAAATGGTTTCTAGCGCGGGCGTGCATGTATCTGTTTTTAGGAATCGTAAAATGATGCAAAATGGCTTGGCTTTCGTTTGGGTGTCCCTTCTTACAAAGAAGGGGGGTACCAACTCCAAGAAAGACACACCCTTGAGCCGCCCATCGGACAGCGCTGAGTCCACATTGGACTGGATGCTATGCTGGTTGCACATCGGCAGACAGCTCGTACAGATCACGCAATAGCCGAGAGCCCCTGACAATAAAGCTTACTTGATCCCAATCCTAGGTGTTCTTCAGCATTGCGATCTGTCAAAATCGAGGACCCACACACACACACACATACCCACACCCACACCCACACCCACACCCACACCCACACGCACACGCACACGCACACGCCCACGCCCACGCCCACGCGCACGCGCACGTATATATATATATATATATATACGCATACGCATATGAATACCCATACCCACACACGCACACGCACACGCACACGCCACGCGCACGCGCACACGCACGCGCACGCGCATGCACACGCACACGCACACGCACACGCACACCCACACCCACCCACACACACACACACATCCACACCCACACGCACGTGCACACGCGCACGCGCGCACTCGCGCACACGAGCACACGTCACACGCGCACACGCGCACACGCTCGCTTGCACGCACGCACGCATTCACGCACGCACGCATTCACGCACGCACGCACCCACGCACCCACGCACCCACGCACCAACGCACGCACGCACGCACGCGCACGCGCGCACACACACAGACACAGAGACACACAGACACACAGACACAGAGACACACAGACACAGAGACTCACAGACACAAAGACACACAGACACAGACACACAGACACAGAGACACACAGACACAGAGACACAGAGACACACACAGACACACACAGACACACACACACACACAGACACACACAGACACACACAGACACACACAGACACACACAGACACACACAGACACACACAGACACACACACAGACACACACAGACACACGGACACACGGACACACAGACACACAGACACACACAGACACACAGACACACAGACACACACAGACACACAGACACACAGGCACACAGGCACACAGGCACGCAGGCACACAGGCACACAGGCACACAGGCACACAGGCACACAGGCACACACTTATCTCGAGAGGCTTCACTAGCCGAGATGAGAAGGTTGGAAAAACCTGCAACTGCTGAAATTGCTTGACAGGTCAAAAAGCAGAACAGAAACCGGGAAGCAACAGCGAACAGGACGGAAAAACAGTCAGGAAAAAGAAGGAAAGGCAGGTACACAAGGCTGATCAGGCCCTGCTTCCCACTCTCACCCACAGCTTCATTGCGTGTGGTAGGATGAGAGTGCCACACGCCCCTGCTGCTTAAAGTTTTGCGTCCGTGCTCCAGGACGGTTCACACACACAAAGCCCCGGTGGGGCGGACACGAACCACACAGAGGGAATTCCACCAGGGGACCGCCAAAAAACCCGCGGCAACAGCAAAAGATTTTCAAGGACGAAAAACCGGGCGCACAAAACCAAGCAGAGGGAATTCCACCAGGGGACCTCCAAAAACCCCCGGCAACAGCAAAAAAAATCAAGGACGAAAAACCCGAGCACACAAAAACCACACAGAGGGAATTCCACCAGGGGACCGCCAAAAACCCCGCGGCAACAGCAAAAGATTTTCAATGACGAAAAACGAAAAAAACCAAGCACACAAAACCAAACCGAGGGAATTCCACCAGGGGACCGACAAAAATCCCCGCGGCAACGGAAAAAGGTTTTGCAAGAAACGAGAATGGCAGTCAAGGCGTGAACATGAATTGAACTGATCTGAGTCAGCGCAGAGCGTGAACCAATGAACGGCAAAGTCGGTGTCTGACCGGCTTGTCACTCGCGCATGAAGCTGCCGAATCCTGATACCTCACGAGAGCTGCCTTGTTCAAAACGCAGGCAGTGCAATGCGAATGAAGCTGCCGGAGCCTGATACCTCGTGAGAGCTGCCTTGTTCAAAAGGCAGGCAGTGCAATGCGAAGGTGAACTGAACGTGAACTTTTGAACGTCATCATATGGCGAGTCCAGCCCACAGCGCCATGTCGGACAGGCCGTGGGTAAACACACTTATCTCGAGAGGCTTCACTAGCCGAGATGAGAAGGTTGGAAAAACCTGCAACTGCTGAAATTGCTTGACAGGTCAAAAAGCAGAACAGAAACCGCGAAGCAACAGCGAACAGGACGGAAAAGCAGTCAGGAAAAAGAAGGAAAGGCAGGTACACAAGGCTGATCAGGCCCTGCTTCCCACTCTCACCCACAGCTTCATTGCGTGTGGTAGGATGAGAGTGCCACACGCCCCTGCTGCTTAAAGTTTTGCGTCCGTGCTCCAGGACGGTTCACACACACACACACACACACGCATGCGCACTCGCCCCTTGGCGTCAAGTACCGGTACCGCAAAACCTATTCGAAGCATGCTCCCATTTAGCGCCCTGCTCGATGCCAAAGAACACACTGGCGATTTGCCTCAAGAGGAGTCTATGTGCGGACCCCCTATTCCCCGACCTAGTTCAACACCCAGTCTTTCAATCTTCCAGGTGCGGACAAAGCGGCCGCGGAGGAGGTGAGTCGGAGGGTCTGTGTCGGCCTCGATTTGCTAAAAGCCCCAACTGGTCCATCCCCAAAATACTCCGCCTCAAGGACATGTATTCGGGTGGTTGACTTGGTCGACTTCCCTTTTCGCAAGTTACCACGGAAGGCTGACCACTAAGAGAAGTAAAGACGAACGGCGAACGGGCGTCACTTTCAGCGATGTCGCTAGCATTGCGTTGCCAGGAGAAAGCAACGGAGGAGCCGAAGGAGTCGACGGAGGCACCGGAGAAGGAGTCCACCGAGGCGCCGGCGGCGGAGGCCCCGGCGGAGCAGGCGCCGGCGGCGGAAGCCCCGGCGGAGCAGGCGCCGGCGGCGGAAGCCCCGGCAGAGGCGCCAGCGGAGGATGCGCCGAAGTGAGGGACGGAAAACAGGCGGCGCGGCAAGCTGCGATCAGACTTGAAGCATTGTGAGCCACGCAGCTTTGAGCAAGGCTCATGAGCCTCATGGCTCTGCTTTGATGGGCCACGTAAGGTTGCGGCTGTTTGGTGCCAAATTGTTCGCCGCATTTTGCGGCTGTGCGTGCTGTGCCCAGTGGTTGAACATCCGGTGAGCTTTCACATGGGTTGGCTTGGACCATCGTGATTCTTGATATTGGTGGCCTTGGATGCAAATACCACCAGTTCCCTTATGGCCAAAAAGTAATATGAACGGATCATAGATATGAGATCTAGGAATCTAGGATTCCGATTTCTTGGCACATTGAAGGAAAGTTAGCTAGGATGTGCTGAGGTCAGCAGATCATGCCCCAAACGAGCTACGCATTGAACCTTGGAGCATATTTGGCATGTTGTTGCAAGACCGGTCAGCTTTAGCACCTTGGGCTTGTCGCATTTAGTTGCAACTCGGACATGGACATGCATGGCTTCGACTTCGAATTGTTGATCGAACAGGCCCTGGTGCTCTCATCGCAACCTAGGCCACAAAGAGCGCCAACATTTCCAGCAGCACATGGTGAACAAGGCATTTGGAAAGTCAACCAATGCCACAAGATGAGGCGCGCGTGCTCAACGTACATTGCGACACTGCCCAAAGGCAGTTTCGAAAGCTATTAAGAACAGGCCACGGCCAGGCAGTTGGAGCTGTGTCCCAGGCAGATAAAATCACGGCCAGCACGCATGCTGACGTGCGTTTGGACGAGTGCCAAACGGAAGTGTATGTCCAGAGGCACTAGACGCGGCAAGACATGCCGCGCATTTCAACACACAAGCACCGCCAAGGACACAACCAGTCGCTTCCCTCCCAGGCACGCTGCAGGCCTTCAGGGGTCGGCAACTAATATATATATATATATAGAGATATGTATATATAAATACACACATGTACACGTACAAATGCGTAGATTTGTTTGGTGTATTTCTTAGTTGCCAAGGTTTCGATCAGACGTCAACCGCCTCAGTCGATTGGCTCAAGTGCATAGCTTTGCTCGGAGCGCCGTTCGGAGGTTCGACATCGGGGTATGACAGAAGAGCTGGAGAGTCTCGTGCCGAGCACACTCTCGAGACTCTCGCATGTCAGTGCACGACCGCTGTCCGCCGTGTGCATTTTCGGCTGCGGGGTGCTCACTTTTGTGGCCCTTGCAAGCGCGAGATGGGCTGGCGACGCGCCGCTTGCCCCGAGCGAATCACTGGAGGCAGCAGCTATCACGCGACTCGGTCACAAGCGGGAGTCGGCCTGTTGGCTTGTGAGTTTAATCAGAATCAGCTAGCGTGGCCTAGGCAAACAGCATGTGATGCGTTTTGTTTGAGGTCCTTTTTTCCCAATAAGTTTACTGCAGGTTCTCGGTTCATAAGAAGAATTGCGAGAGATGGCTGTCTCTCCACTTGTGTCCCCACTTGTCTCCCTACCTGCACTCGGTGACTCAGTTCTTGTCACGGCTTCTCTCCTCACTTGTCTCCTGATGTATCTTCGGACTTGTCTTACTTGCCTCCCGCTTGTCTTTTTGCTTGCTTACAACAATACGTGACCGGCCGGGGTGTCGTTCCTTTTTTATCGCCAACTTCATCCGAGGCAACGCCCTGTTCTTGACTCATTGACTCTGCCCAGACACGGTCTCTGGTTAGGCAATGTGTTGTCCAATGGAACCGAGCTGATGTGTGCAGTGGCTGTTTGGTGTTTCTCCATGACCTGAACATATCTCTTTTTTGCTGGTGAGTGAGCTGTTCGGTGTTTCGCAATGACCTGAACATCTTTTTTCTGGTGAGGAGAGCCTGGGAGCCGGCTGGCCGGCCCAGCCTCTTTTGTTTTGCCCTGATGGTGCCCAACACTGCGGAGCGTGGCTTGCTGGAAGAGGCGGCCAGGCTGAAGACGAGCCTTTTCGCCTGTGATGAGCACATGATCTTCAGCCACCCAGCGAGAAAAGGGTTTTTCCTCGAGCGGTAAAGCCTTGCACACCTGGACAGGGCTCCTTGAAAGATACATTTTGCCCATTTGAAACATGGCTTTTTCCACCAACATAAAGGGACACCACCATTTACAAGGCAATGTTCAGGTGTATCATGTAAGGATCCCTGCTGGAGACTTATTCTGCATGAATTTCTTGGTAGTTCTCGTCTTTAACTTGCTTTTCCTGAATATCGATGCTTTTTTCATGTGCAGCAGAAGCGAGTTTTGCTTTCTTTGGTTTCCGCTGGGTTTCATGTTTGGTGCCTTGTTATTCCCCCCCCCCCCCCCCGCCAAGCAAAAGGGGCACAGTGGTTTTCAGTTTTTGTGACCCTTAGGTTTAGAGCCACGCCACAGTCGCGGACCCCCTTTTGGATGGCTTTGAAGAGGAGCAAAATAAGAAACCCGTCGTTTGCGTCCAAACTATTCTCGTGCAACTAGCTTTAGTCATGGCCATTCCTTCATTGCATGATTCCTGGGTATATAGTTCAACTGATATTTCATTTCCAGGGTCTCTAAAGTTCGGGTTCGCTGTTTGGACGATGTTCAAAGGGACGCCAAACAGGAACCAGTAAGCAGCCCAGAACCCTATTGGCAAGTTTAGCAAGGGCACACTGTTCTGCCTTCTTTGATGGGCCTTCTAAACAAACGCTTGCATACACCTTACAATCGCATTTTTGCTTGCTTTGCGCAAGAAAGTCGATCGTTGTAGCTTTTTTTGCTTAAATGAGGAAGTTCCAACAGTTGGTTTGGTTTGGCTGCTTGAGGCAATGAACCAGGCCAAGTCTGGGGCAGCCCCATCTCCGTGCTGTGGGGTGTGGACTTGTGGTGCGGCAAGAACTTCACTCCCGTGGAGTTTGGGGGCGCAGGGCCCTCGGGGCCCTGGACGACCGCGAACACCCGAGTCTTCAAGATCGCTCCTTGGGCAGATGGAAAAACCGTTGAGACTTGGGGATTGGTCAAAAGGTGCTTTGGGATGACCACCGCGGAAAACCGTAGGGGATACATGGGCAATTGGACAGTAGTAAGGAAAACAAACACCTTGCCAGAAATGGGTGCGGATCGCCTCTTCAACTCTTTGCATGGTTCTGGGTAGACCATTTTTAGTACCAGGCTTTGATTATGACTCAGTTGAGGCATACTTAGATTCGCGAGCCCGAAAAGCCATCATGTTTAGAACATGTTTTTTGCGGGACCCTTTTTTGATTTCACGTTGACCCCTTGCAGGGGTGTAGCCCTTGAGAAATACCTTGAAATGATGGTGACAAAGGTTCAAGAAGATGATAGGGAAGATTGTCTTTCACTGGAGTGCTGCAAAAGATGGGCTTGGTTCAGTGGCCAAGGTTTGGGATGCCGTATTGAGAAGTGGGCGCTGGAAGTACTACGACTGGACGGTGAAAATGGACGCCGACACCGTGTTCCTCCCCTGGAATCTGCGGGGCGCGCTCCGCCTCCCGCAGTTTGTGGACGCTCAGAACAAGCCACTCACTCAGCGAATAGACCTTTGACCTCTTTTTTCCCCAGGTTTGCCCTTGGCTGCAAAGTTAACCTTGGACTTCTAATCTTTCAAGTGAGGCCGCAGGGAGCCTACCTCAAGAACTGCCCCATGGGTTTGTATGGTGGCTTGGAGGCCCTATCCTGGCATGCCATTCTCGCCATGAGCCAGCGCATGAACCAATGCCCCTACGTACCGCAGGAGGACGCTTGGCTGAGAACGTGCTTACAGCGCTTGGGGGTATTCGCGGCAGAGGCCTATGGCGCCTTTTGCCTCCGTGGCTGCGACATTGACATGGCCAACGTTCTGCAATCCAAGGGGCAACCGGCGCCCGAAGGCATGTGCCCCACCCACTACGGCATGTGCGAAGGCCTGCATGCCGCGTTCCACGCGTACAAGACGCCCTGGCAATACTCGCAGTGCCACCAGAAAGCCGCAGCAGCGGTCGCGTGAAGTGAGCAATTGTGAGCAGCAATTTCCTGGCCATTGTGAGCACCCATGTTCAACCTGGCATTCCTGCCAAGCAGTGTCGTGCGCTAAGGTTTCTTGTGCAAAGCAGCGAACGCTATCGCGTTGCCAATCGACCGAAGAGCGGATGCCTGACCAGGCCGTGTTTGGGCTAATATGCAAATGTCTTAGAGAGCCCCATTGTTTTGTGTTTGGCATCTTCAATATGCAACTTTGGTAAGGTTTGCTGGGTGAATCACCCAGAATCGCTCTTGGCGATTGTGCGGCTTGATGTCTTTGACAGCCTTTGGTCTGTGAAGTATGTCGAAGCCACACTCTTTCATTATTGCTTAGCTGCTTGACCACGTTGAACGAGGTCAGCACCGGTTTCGAGCTTTTCCTTAGGTTTTTCGCTACTTGGCGAATCTGTGACGACTCTCAGCTGATGGTTGTTGGGAGAACGACTGCATTTCTATCCGGCTATCGTGGTGGTCCCATAAAAGAACTGAGAGACGATCGCCGTGAAGTGCCTGGGAGCGGATTTACTAGCTCTGGGCTATGCCGCTGACCACACTCGGTCGTTGCGAGATGGTGCGAACAGTGACAACACAGTGGTGACGCCAAAGTGCAAGGTTGACTGTTTTCTGTGTGAGTGTGTGTGTGTGTTGTGTTGCGCATTAGTTGAGTGTTTTCGTGCGTGCGTTGCGGTTCCAACATTGAACCTTGACCAACTCGTTTTGCCAGATGGGTCGCAGTTTCTCTGAGAGATCGGTCCATTTCCTGTGGATTTCCGGGTTTCCTTTTGGAATCCCGAACACCGAACAGCAATTTGTAGGGCGCCTCACCAGTCTGATCTGTGGCTTTTTGGCTCGCGAGGGAGGCGAGGCCTTCCGCCATAGCTAGAGTCTCAGCATGCCGAACAAGCGTTTGGATTTGAGTCAGAGAATGATGCAGCTGGATGTTTCTCTTTCCACCCCTGAAACCTGGGACTCTTTTTTTCACCCGACAGGTCTGTAGCTTGGCCATGAAAGACATGTGGGTAACCCGTAGTTGATGGTTAGATTTGAACCACCAAACCACCAATCCAAACCACGGGAGAAGCTGACATGTTGCAACGATGATTTTGTTGGATGCAGGTAGCGCGCAAAGGGAGAGGCGTTCGCTCCTGCATTTCAACCCAGTCTTGCTTCGAGACAACCTGGGACTGAAATGTGCGAGCGAACTTGCCCAAATCGTATGGCCCATCGGGTCTCACTGTCATGTGACACTCATCCCACCACTGGACACCCGGCCTTCACAAACAACCGTTGTCGATGAGAGAAGGGCCTGTTTTCTTGCTGGCGATTCTGCACGTGCACCCTCCATCAATGAGCTGGAATTGCCAATCAGGATTTCGCAACTCTTGCCATTGGAAGGCCTTTAGACCTTTCTCCCGCACAGCGGCAGCTTAGCCCTTGACCAGTCAACTCAGCTCCATGTCCTTCCGGAGTTTTGGTCGCAGCCTATGATCGATTGAAGAGATATGTAGGGGACTCGCTAGACTTTTTGGAGACCAGGGTACAGCAAGTTTCGACTGCCCAGCTGCATCTCCGGCAGGACCATAGTTTCTACACAGAAGCATATATCATGTAACATGCACACATAGATGAGTATGTGACATGGGCCCTCACAACCACGCTCGAATCACGCGCAACTGGTTAATCTGGTGGATTGCAAGAACGGAGATAACTACTCTCTCCCGCGAGTGGTACGCAGTTCGCCAGAAGCGGAGGCACTGTGAGGAGGTCCGCGTAGAGGAGCGGGCCCGTGTAAGGAGGGGTTTACATATAGGAGAGGTCCACGTGTAGGAAGGGTCCACATATAGGAGGGGTATACGTGGACCCTTCCGACGTGGGCCCCTTCTTCACGTGGACCCCTTTGGCGTTCATTTATCATGTCAGGGCGACTGATCAAAGGGCTACTCACCAGTCAAGCTGCTGCATTTCAAAGCATTTATGAACATATGTTTGGATTCATTCTGTTTCATTCCAAATAGTTCTGTTTTATTCAAAATTCAGGTTGGTGACTTGGAACGGCCAGCGCCATCCAGAGTGCAAACAGCGCCGAGACATTCTAACAGAACCCATGAATGCCGCTCCCAAACAGGTCCTATTTTCAGAAAGATTACGTGGGCTCCTGTACGTGAACCCCTCCTTACATGGACTCCCTCCCTGCACGTGGGCCTGGAGCCCCTCCTATATGTGGACCTCCGAGATGTAGGAGTCTATGTACAGGAGGGTACAGTAAGAAGTCCACCGGAGCTGGCTCACTACCCAGAATGCAGCGCAACCAGCACAAGCTTGTCTAGAGAAAATTGCGCAAGCGTGTGTGTGTGTGTATATAATATATATATATATATGTATATATATATATGTATATCAGATGTTTACAAATAAGTAGACATGCTGCAACAGACCGCTACACAAGTATACATACATATATATATATATATATATAATTATGTGCATACATCTACACCAATCTCAACTCAAGCAGAAGCCCGGGATTTTGCAGTTGCGATGCCTGCTTTGAAGCAAACTGACACGCTCAGGTGTTGAATGTAGCAAGCCGCACGCTGTTCGTGGCTTGGACGTGGAGAGCCATGCGATGGCGAGGCAGGGCGCGCGGGGCGGGGTGAAGATGCCTTCTCTCGCACTTTTGGCTAGAACTTTCTGTCAATTTTTGGCAGACGCACTCCTTCATACCTATTTTGGTCCTAAACAGCGGTCGCTCGGTGCTCAACACGTGTCGCTTAGCTTCTGCGCCCTTGTCTATCCCTTTGTTGCTCTATGTGTTTGTGAGGTTCTCGCCTCCCTGAAGTGAGAGTTTTGTCTCTATTGCTTTCTTTTTGATAGACAGGCGGCGGCAGAAGCGGAAGCGGCTGATGAAGCGAATAAGGAACATGCGAGCCATATTCAAAACCCGGGTAAGTGAAGGTTAGTAAGGGACGATCCCAGCCATATATAGCTGCGGCCGCCTTCTTAGTTCTTTACATGGTTCTGGGTCGACCATTTTTGTACCGGGTTTTGATTGTGACTCATGTTGGCAACGGTTGTTCTCTACCGTGGGGTGAGTGTGAGTGAAAAACAACAGCAGCTGCCAGGCAGAAGGATGTGGAGCCAGAACAACAGCATGCCCAAGCATGTCATGTATGCAGTATGTTGACACGTTTACCCTCCAAATGTGTCAAATGTTGGTATAATATCAAGGTGTGTGTACATATATATATATACAAACTACTGACATGGATTCTGTGGGATGGGTTGCGCGAACATGCATAGTGCATCACTGAACATAGATAAAGCATGACAGGCACAGGGTTCGATTCGACACCAGAAGGATCACGCTGAGCAATAGAGTGTGAGAGAAGGGCGAGATTAGGATTGGCAAGGAGGATTGGATGGCTTACCAAGTTACACAGATCACCCCCCCTCCCGCCCCGAAGAAAGAGAAGATAGCCACTTGTTGGTAAACACTCTGATCAAACCACCCAGCCTTCACCTGCAAGCGCGCGGGGAATTCCCGCAACAGGCTCGGTCTTGGCCCTGCTGGCTTCCGGCAGGCCGGGCTCGTCTTTAAGCGGACCCAAAATGGACTTCAGCCGAGCCACTGCTCAAAGCCCGGGTAGATGAAGGTTAAGGGGCAATCCCCTTGCCAGAAACAGCGGATATCCGCCGTCTTAATCCTTGAAGGGTTCTGGGTAGACCATTTTACTACCGGGTTTTGATAATGACTCGGTTCTCCTTTTGGCTCGCTTTCGAAACCACAAACATGGGATGCCTTCAAACAAAGGAGACCCATTTGAATGCTGTGCCCACCGTTGATTTTTGGCCATCATTCCGATTATGAAGAGAATCCCAAATTGCTAGTGGCTTGTTTCGGGATGCATTATAAGGCTTCTCTCATTGCAGGTGCCTTAAATTTTGTGGTATCACTAGATGTGTGGACGGCGCTGCTAAACCATATGAGATTCAAATGGACGAAGGTATTGGTTCACAGAAGCTGCTCTTGGATTGCTGGAAGACTGTTTCTGTCATGTGGCTGTGGGTCAAAACCAATGGTAGCATTTTGGGGTAGGTGCACCACCCATTTTGGTCCATTTTAGTGGGGATTGGGATGTTCACGGGGGGTACGAGATTTTGACCCAAGGCCATGTCACAGCTCTAATTACACCTATCCTTTTGTTGATGAATCTCTGGCCTCATGTTCTTTGCTTGCAATGACCTGGTGTTCCTAGACCACCCCATTTCTACAAGGCTCTATTCATACTCAAAGGATAAATATGATAAGGGGATGTATGTAATCCGTGGTTGAGCAAAAGTATTGATTAACGATTGCATAAAGTCAGCGTTCCATTAGGTCGTAGAGAGAACTTTGGATGCTGGGCGATTCTTGCGAATATAGCTGACAGTGTGCGCTGACACATCCAACACCATAAATATAATATATTGTGCACTCAAATTATAGCCTTTGTGATATGTGAAGACATAATGGCAGAATTAAGTATGTTTCAGAACATAATACATGTAGCTCAAACATATTGTTTTGCATGAGCCCTTTGGGCGTTTGTTCAAGGTGGAAGGACACGGTTTGACGGGGGCTTCCCCGCCAAACTGGAAGGGTTCTAACGTGCACGTCTCAGAGACATCGTGTCGCTGTGCTTTTTTCGGCAATCTGAAGGCACCTGAGTTACCAATTCGTCGCATTCGTGGGATAAAACCAGTCTGGTAGGCACAAGGCACCCCTTCCCATTTGGCGGTCTGGTTGATCTCCTCAAAGTACTGCTTTTGCACTTTCAGGTTCACTAAATATACATGTGTATATATATATATACTACGTATATATATATATATATACTACATAATATATATATATATATATTTATGTGTATATATGTACACATGTATGTATGTATGTATGTATATGTGTATTATACATATGCGGATCAAGCAAAAAAGACTTTGGGTGGGGAACCGGATGTTCCGCGCGGACAGGAAGCTGGGCTTCGAGGAAGGCGCGGGCATCGGACATCGGGCACGGGCGGGTTTTGGTCGGGGGTTCCAACAGGAAACGGCGGGGGGTGTCATAGCCGTCCCCTGAGGCGTTGGGTGTTTTTTTTTTTTTTTTCTTTGGGG